TTTCCCTTGCTTCACCTGAGATGTCATTGAGCAAGCTCTTAGTACTATTCTTGGGAGAAACAATCGTGTTCTTTCCACTCCATGGGAACCTTGATTTGCGGCCAACTTTGACATCATAAGTTAAGTTTTTGAAGGAAAGAACAAATGGGTCTGGTATTGGAATATTGGAGCCGCTGGCAGTGGCAATGTCTGGAACCAGATGATTATCATTTTTTCCTTGGTTTCCCACGGGATTCATGAACTCTCTGAATGTAGGAGAGCCTAGGAATTCGGCTTCCGAGGGCAACTCTTCAAGCTCCATTGCTGTCTTTGGCCTCTGACCTCTCCCTCCCTCTCTCTCTCTTTTTTGTGATAAGCAAATATCAAATCTCTTTCTTTGTCTTTGGCCTCTGATCTCTTTAGCTATTTAAAGCATGATAAAATGAACTCCTTTTTATTTAAATTCAGCCTCAGTCTTTGTCTCATTCAACTCTAGACCAATTTAAAATTTTAAGATAATAACACATGAAACCTTGAGGAAGACCCAAAGATTCCTTGAAATATCTTGTTTTGATTTACACGCCTTCCACGATGACTATGCATATTAGTTTCCAATTAGTATTCTAACTCCATTAAGCTGATTCGGTATCAAATTCTAAAACAAAATTGCGGCAACAATCATGTGTTTGTTAAATATTCATCTTCCAGTTTATGATCTTTCCTGATCTTTAATTTATTATTCATTTCATGAATCTGCAATGCTCGAGATTTATATTCCGACGTGCAAATAAGCCACTATTATGAATGAGCTAGAAGTTGGATTTACTAAGATTTATAAGATTAATAAAAGGATTTCAAAGATTTTGCTTCTGTTCAATGAGGATATTAAATAATGAAACCTGGAATCAAAATTCTTATTCCTTTATGCACCCCCAAAAAAAAAATTTTTTTTTCTTATACCTTTAGCTTCAAACTTCAACTCTGTTTAGACCTATTTTGACATGTTCAAATGAAACATGCTTTGCTTTCATAGATGTTTCTTAGCCATCATATGTGGCTAAGAAAAGCCCTGTTCTATTCTCTTTTAAAATGTTAATTTTTGTGATCAAACTAAAGCAAAAACTTAGGAGTGGTGACTAACTATCAAACTCAATCCATGTAAATTTCTGTCAAATCAGTCAAATAGTATTATTAAGCAACAATTTGAAAAGACTGATGACAAAGATTTGCTTAATTTGTCTCGTTTGTGAAGTTGTTAACTCGTGATTAGGTGCAATTTGAGGATTTCTTATCAGACTGTAATCCTGGTATCAAGATTTATACATATTATCAAAATTTTGCCAACTTAATATTTTATTTAAGAAAAATATCTCGAAACATGAATTTTTTAGACTATATAAATAAGATTAACAAAATGACATTTTATTTTTTTAAAATACATTAAAAATTAAAAATTAAAAAAATTAAAAATATAATATTTTTTTAATTTCATTTATAAAATTAAAAAAATTATTCACTGTTACATAAAAAATTAACTCTTTATTTAATACATTTGTACCAAATTTTGTACTTATTTGGAGTTTAGTTACGTCGATAGTAATCAAACACCCTGGAGCATGATTCTAAATTTGTTTTATTTTTAAACTTGAGATTATTGAATTCAAAGTAGTCAGATTAATTCATTTTGTTTACTCCTACTAAGACGTTTGGCATGAAGTTAAATAAATTAAGGGTTGATTTTGATATCACTTATTATTATTTTTTTAAAATTAATTTATTAAAATGTACAGTATCAATATTTATATATCTAACGATTTTATTTTTTTTTATCTAATATGAAATTACTAAACTCTATTTATTTTCTTTAAGCAGTTAGCGTGACACATTTATTAAATTATTAAATAACAAATTAATCTTTAATTATTTAATTTAATAATTAAGATAATTTTAAAGAAAATATTAAGATTGGGATTCGACCCCGACTTTCTTTTTTTCCCTTAATATAGGGTTCTATTCTCTTTAAATGACAAAAAAAAAAAAATAATAACAGACCAAAATTAAAGCAGTTGATTATTCATATCTAAATATACAACAGTACAGTAGTATTAACAAAAACCTAATATCCAACTGTTTTAAGACTGCTTTACTACAATTACAAACCTAACCTAGTATACATATATAGGCTCGCGCAACCTTACTTCGTCGACTTCTGATATTATCAGTTCGTCCCTTATTATGAAAGCTTCACACGATTTAATCACAATAATTAAAATGTAAAATTGAAATTAAATTTATGAAATATTTAAAACCAAATCTATATATTCATTATGAGTTAAAATTTTGTGATATAATAAGTTACGTGAAAGTATTGTGGTAATTAATTTTTATAAGACTGAGATAAAAATTCATTTAAAAATTTCTTCTGGGAACCAATATTCAATGAACCAATAAGTGAAATGAAAAAAGGAAAATGTTAATAAAAACCAATACTCGGTGAATACATTTGTTTTTCTTTTGGGTTCTTTTTTAATTATAATTTTTCTTGGTGATAAATTTTGATAGCTAATTGAAGACCTTGACATGAGAATTCAAGAACAAATTAAGTAGAAAATCATAAAGACAAATGGAAACGATTCCATTCAATATCTTTGTTACATTTTTCTTACTTCCTTTTATTCTTGCTTCCAAACAACAGAGTTAAGCAGAATAGAATCCTAAAAAGAAACCCCAACCAATACTAATCCAGAAGCAGTTCTATTTGCTTAACTGGGTAACCCCTTGCTGCAACAGGATAGCTTTTCCCGTTGTTAGACAGATTAAGCCTGTAATGTTTGTGCCCAATGCATTGCCTACAGTCTTCAATAGATCAATCTTCAATGGAACTGGAAACTCCCCAAGTGGGGTGTCATCAAAGATTTTGACAACTTCAACCGGTCTGGTTCTGGTTCAGCTGCCCGAAATTCTCAATGTCTTTCAACTTATTCCTTCTGTCAATTCATTAAAATTGGCCCATATATGAGTTCTTTTAGACGATCTTCCTTGTCTAACAGTTTGTATGTACTGCATTAACAGGCTTTCAGAGTCCACACCAAGCTTGCCTCTGTTCCTAATTTCCTATTCGAGGAAGAAAAAGAGGCTTTGTAGCAAATTTTGATAGAATTAAAAACTTGTTTAAAAGGTGTATTATTGACATGGCTGCTTTGATATTTGTGAAAAAACGAGAATTAAATTCAGAAGAATTAATACATACAACAATTCTCAATCTTTCATGCTTTTGTCAACCTTAAAAAATAACAAACCCATTTGGGGTTCAAGGAGAACAAAAATATCTTACTTATTACATAGGCCTAAAGCCGTTTGGGTTCAGCAACTAAGTTGGGACTTGCAAGCCAATTTGGTGGGTTGGGTTATCCTCTCCTTTCCTTTTTTTTTTTTTTTTTCACTTATTATTATTATTTTTTTAATAATAAGCCATTAACCATCCGTCATCCATCAATACAATCAACACAATCATTAAGGTTAAGAACCAGGGGAACTCTGAATTAAGGAACCTAGCATAATTTTTGTAGAATGATCCCAAAACTGAATTCTGCTAATGTCGCTTGGAAACATGATCGAGTGTTTTCTACATGGAGATGTTGTGCTAACGACTGTTGCATGGCCAGAATAGAAGAAAAACACTTTTCCTAGAAAGTGGGTGCATTTTGGTGATTGAGAAATCCGGGGGTAAGATGCTCTGACGAGCGACCCGATCTTCCAGTAAAAGGCGCCCAACTTTTCCTCCAAAAACAGATTCGATTCACTGAAGTTTCAGCATGGAGAATCTCCCACCAATTTTAAAGATAGTGTTATACATTGGGCGAACTCCATTGTGGTATTCTAGAACCGTCACTTCTCGTTTCTTTCTTTCCAAAATCTTACAGTCTCCATAGAAGGATTAAATATTCCAAGATCAGGAAAAACATTTAAGAATTTTGCAACTGTCTGTACAACCGAGGGACTGCAAATCCTTGGAGCTTTGGTTGTTGTAGCACTAATGGATGACTTCAGTTCTGACATGCAAGAAACACAAGTCGTTGATAATTATACTTCTCGGTTCAATAACAGCTATGGTATTACCGGTATTGGTGAAGAACCGGCTTCATTGCTTGATATGTGCTATCTTTATCCGGAAGAGAGGGCTTATCAGCAACACGAGAGACGATCCGAATTTGATTGCAGGCATTGGCTATCTGAAGGTTACCTGGGAGACGATCTATTCTACGATGATAGGTACAGCGGGGATGATTATGGATGTAATGACCCCGTGTTTAAGACAGAAGACTCCAGCCAAAGTGAAGACCACAATCAAAGTTATTCCGGTTATTGTGAGGATGAATTTAGCCAGCCTGACTGTGATCATAATCCATGGTGATACCATCAATATGTTGGGCTTAGTTTCTACCTAAAACTAAAGCTCATTCGTTAAGGAATTTTTAGTCCTGTTTAGTTATAAAGTTTTAAACCTTTATACGGTTGAAAAAAGAAATAAGAGAGTATGACGATTAAAAAAAAAAAAAAGGGAAAAAAGATAGCTATGTAATTTGATTGAGATCAATCCGTTATCTAATTAAATTAAAATTTTATCAATATATTTACAATTCATTGTTTTTCAATTTGAACGATAAAGATCGAATATCAAATTTTTTACCTACTGATTTTGTAAGTATTTATTAATCCATAAACTTGTTGAGATTTTTTTAATTTTCTTTTACAAGATTATTTTTTTATCAAAATTATTTAATTTTAAAATTTTGTGATTATATATCTATAGTTCTAGTTAGAAAAAACTTTGTAATCTCATTATTTTGATAGTGAATATTATTTGTTATTGTCCGTGACTTTTATTTCTTGTTTGAATGAGATTTTTCACATAAATTACTTGTATCTTTGTGCTTATCGTTTGATAATTTATTTATTAACTTTATTTATTTAATTCTTACTAGATTTACACAAGAAAATGACAATTGATATATTCGGTTTAAATATTTTTTAAATTATTTTATCTCATCAAAGATTATTTTATCCCATCACAATATTGTGAAGATGAAGATTCTTACAGCTACGACGGAGACAAAAGAAGAACTAAATATGGCTACCGCATGGACGAAGTGGGACTTTGTGCAGGCATCTTGGTTACTTCCCTCGTTTGCTTTCAGAGCAAAAACAATATAATAACATGCAGTGATGAACTAATGAACACCGGGTACTTGTACCAGTAGGCAGAAACCATTTAAGCATTTTTCTTAATTATCAGAAATGGGATCTAGAGTATATTTAATGTTTAACTAATAGATGTGACACTATTTTTTCCCCTCCCACAAGAAGTAAAGTTTATGTAAGGTCAACTTACTGTACAGGGGGTAACCAAGCTATTTTATCAAATTACAGTACCAAGGCCTAGTTCATCCTCGATCTCATCCCCTTCTTCAAACAGCTTTAAGAACCGAGCCTGATCTTGTTGCCTCTTCTTCCTTTGCCAATATTTATATGCCACCACCAGTGCAATTATTGTAACAGTTGAAATCAGCACGCTAATCAGTATAACTACAGCAACATGCATTCTATTCCCGTCATCATGCTTTTTAGGGGCCGTATCGGAAGCTACAAACACACAGTAGATACAAATTTGTCAGCATATAATAGAAAGAACTTGTGCATTAGAATTTAAACAGCAATATCACAAATGAAAGTATGCGCTTAGGTAAACATCGGTGGCTTAATCATACAATTTCAGAACAACTGTAAGAGAGAGGAAAAAGAATCCACAAAGCTGTCTTCCCTGCCTTAAACCTTCGCAGACAATTCCAAGGTCCCACTGTTATGGCCAACCTTAGCCTTCAAGGATTACCAATGCTTTATTGTGCCAGTATTTTAGTGTGAAAATTAATTGTAGTCATGATACATTGCTCATTTGGCTCCTTTTATGATACCAAAGGAACTTTTGATGTTCTAGTTAAATGAGGCCAAAGAAGCCAGCTAATTTCTGCAATGCTTTTAACTTTTCTTCTAGAATAACTAACCAGAAAATCTAATGTAAGCACATTGACCGAAATGGAATGATTAATTTCCATAAAATGCACTCAGATACCAGGCATGACAAGAACTAGCGCATTAACATGGTACAATAGCATCTGAGAATAAAGTTGGAAAGATTCCATGACCAAAAGAAAAACCTTACCAGCTGGAAGAGAAGTGCATTCTGGACAGCTGAAGGTAACATTAAGTTCCTTTTCTTTAAACAATATATATTTCCCATCTGGAGCTTTAAAGTCAGACGCACAGAACTCCCACTCATCATATACATCATCTGATTTAATGGTGTCCTTCTCATAGAATCCACACCGCTTGCATTTCTTGCTTTCTAGTTCTGTCAATGGCTGAAATCACACAGATAACAATTTCATACTCTTCGCAAAAATTGTCATACAAGCAAATTTGGTATGGCGGCAACAACTCTGAAGGATTTATTTAAAGTATGTAATAGCACACTTATCCAGAACATCAAGTTATCCAAGACCAAACTTAAATGAAGCTCACATGGTCAGTCTGGTCAGTTATTTCATCTGGCTTTCAATGTAACAGTAATACACAGATTGCCAAAATTTCACCAAGTCCCTAAAAAGCTAATGATCAGTATGCATAACGAGCAAGTCAGCATCCATACAGAAAGAACAAATTCAAAGATTATAACTTTCACTAGGTTTCCATTAAAAGAAAAAAACAAGTGTATTATGTTATGATAAGTTTAAAAACCTAACCAATAAAAAATGATATAGAAGCATAAAATTCCCTAAAAAACAACCCAAAAAAAACCTCATACAACACCAAAAGACACCTTTTTTCAGCTACTGGGATTGCATACTTCATAAAACTAAGCATAATTGAAGCTTTAATATCAATTTTCTACTAATTACACGATCAAGAAAAGGTTCTGAAACAATTGACTATTGAGAACTGATTTTTATTCTATCATTTCATTTTACACCTTGCCGACAGTAATGAAAAAACAAGGAGAATTAAAAAGTTGAAAATCAAGGTGAATTATTTATGAACCTGCCAAGATTCTTCACCCTTGAAAGAATAGACAACGCCTTTTTCGGTGACATCTGGCAACACCGTCCCGTTCTCTCCTTTACACACGAAATAAACCGTCGGCTTTGCTATCCACTCGTGCGTGTTGAATATTTCAATCGAATCCAATGTAACTACCGCCGATGAAATTAATCCTAAAACAACGAATTAAAGAAAAGATTGCATCTTAATTTCAAATTTTCATCTCAAAAACATGAACTTAATCTAAAAAAGAAAAGGAGAGAATTAAGAAAGTCAAAAGGACTGAAAACCTGTCAACATCAAAAGTAAACACCATCCGCCTACCAGAAAAATTACACAAGTTCCGTTTGTTTGTTTCTCGGGAAAATTAATTTACCTGGAAAACAGCTGAATAAGATCCACCAAAAGAGAAAACGGAAGAAAATTCTCGAATTTCGCAGATGGCGAATCGACATAGCGAGCTAAAACAATATCAATTTCTCGATAAGAAAAAAGGAGACGATAAATCACGGAAATTAGGAAGAGTGCGCACTACGCACCTTTCCTTGCTCTTTTTTTTTTTTTTAATTTAATCTTTGATAAACAAACGAGTAAAAAATATTGTAAGAGAAATGGCGGCCTCGAAAGTCATCTTTTGCGTGGTAGAGAGGGAAGGAAGACGAGGAAACAAAGAAAGAAAAAAAGGGCGGTTGCTGACCGGTTCGCGCTGCGGGTGATGGGAGGGGAGTAGCGTCTCTGGTAAGCAGTGTGCGCAATGAGCATCGTTCTTTTCAGATCTCGCCACGTCATTAAGGGAAGCAGGTACGTGGCGAGTCGGTAGTGGTTTGAGTTTAGGAAATGGAAAGTGGGTGCGATTGGACTTTTTAACTGACACGACGAGCCGTTATATGGCAAGTTAGTCAGTACATTCTCATTTAGAAATTATAATAAATAACGTTTTATAATATAATGTAACCAAAATTTTTAATAATAATTAAGTATAACTTAATTATTAATTAGTAATTTATAAAAAAGTTTAGTTAAGATTTTTTATTGGGTTAAATTTTAGTGAGTAAATTAATGTAATTTCTCCTCTTGAAAAGTCTTTTTTTAACTAAAAAATGGAAAATATTAATCAATATTAAATCCAAATTAAGGTGGTTAATAATCGTTTGATTTATTATTAAAATGTTGAATATTTAATTTTAATCATCAAAAATTAAATTTTAATAATCTTTTGTGTTTAAGAACAAATTTGTAATTAATATATTATTTTTAAATTTTATAAAAAAACTATAATATATGTTTTATTGGTAAAATGCCATTTCGACAATCTTTGATCATCGCCTATAAATATCTATTCGTTGGACATGTAAAAAAAAGTAGTAATCTCAAAATTTGTGTTTCATTTCATTTATTTTTTATATTTTATTTGAATTTCAGTTAACTTTCAGTTCAATACATCATGAACACCTTTTTCACTTCAATTTCATTGAATTTGGGTTTGAATAAAAAGTATAAATGATATATTAATATTAACAAGTTATTCAAGTTTGATTTAAATAAAATTTAAATTCGGTTCGATTATTATCAAATTGAACTCGAGTTCGAATAGTTTGATTTACCGATTGAGTCGAGTTTGAGTATTTTTATATCCGATTAAAATAGTTAACGAGCATAATCGAATTTTTATATTTAAATATATTTTATTATTTTAATTAATAAAATATCTCAAACTCGAGTTCGAATTCGAACATAAATAATCGAATTTTTATCAAATATAAAAATAAAATTTATTTTTACATGTTAATCGAATCTGATCAAATAAGTTCAAATAACTCGATTTATATCTTGAGTCAAGCTCAAGCTAAAAAAATAAAACTTAATCGAGTTCGAGTTAAATTTTAAATTTTAAATTTTAAATCAAATTCAAATTTAAACTTAATATTGTATTGATTCAAACTTAATCGATTACATCTTAAGTTTGATCACCGTATAAACGGTGGGATCAAGTGATTTAGCTCGCAACAAAGTGCTTAAGTGTAGACTGGACCCAAATTAAACAATTTTATCCTTCTCAAGTTTTCTCTATAATGATTTTACCCTTAATTTTGTTCGTTTGGATTAAAATATCCTTCTTAAATTTGATAATTACATATCAATTTTATAAAGATATGTATTCAAATTAATTATAATAAAATATTGTTATAAAAAAATTTAATAAATTGAATTATTTATTAATAAAATTATATTATAAAATTTTTTTTAATAAATTTTAATTTATTAAAAATATTATTTATATAAAATCAAATTTAATTATTTTAACATCATAAATATTCAATTTTATTATATGCAAAATTTAATCTAATATATTTAATAAGAAATTTTTTCTCATTAAACTTTATTTTTATCATTACTATTTTTGCATGTAAATACATATTTTAACATTAATTTTAATCTTAACGTTACAACATTTAATTTCACTTTTATAATTATTTTTAGTGTTATTGAATCTAATCTAAATATCCCTCCAAATAGAGTAGTGTTTTCATTTATGGAAGAGACCAACCGTTTTTTCAAGGAAGTTAGCGAATGGGCTGGCTTGTTGACATTTTTAGTAATGGAGATCCGGAGATGTCTCACTCGGACATAATCAAATGGTTTTATTATCTACTTGAAACAAAAAGTCGTTTCAACATTAGTTATTACATTTTCAAAATGATAAACAACAAAAAATTTCTTACGTAATGAAAAACATCGTTATATTTGAACCCAACACTTTTTGTTAAATGAAAACGTTGGATTTTAACAAACGAGCCATTTTTAGAACCCATGCTTTAGATTAAAAAGTTCATGCCATCTTCCTTCTCGCTTGGCCTCTGCCAATGCTCTCTCGCCTCAAGTGAGGGTTGCACCACTCAAAAATGGCAACAATAAGGATTGTTTTGTCGCCACAATCCCTCGCTTCCTTGATCATTTTCTGCCTTCTTTTCATCGCCGTCTCGTCTAGCGTGGATCCACAACAAGACCCCAAGCCAACAAACAACTATTATAACAAGAATGCAACTGCCAATGCAAATGCAACTGCAAATGCAAATCCCAAACCAACAAAAGCACGACCAACAACGAACGTTGTTCCGGCAAAGAGGAAGAATGGTAAATTTATCAGCGATTTTGTTTCTGCCCACAACATGGTAAGACTCCCCTTCGGACATGCACCCATAAAATGGAACTATACCCTTGCCTACTTCGCCAAACAGTGGGCTCTAAAGCGTGTAGATGATTGCAAGTTGATCCATTCTTATGGCCCTTACGGAGAGAATCTGTTTTGGGGTGGCAGAACCCATTGGAGCCCTAGCGCGGTGGTGAAATGCTGGGTTGAGGAGAAGGCTTTTTATGATCCACAGTCAAACTCCTGTGCCAGTGGCCAAATGTGCGGACATTACACCCAGGTTATCTGGAGAGATACGCTCAGGGTTGGTTGTGCTCGTATTAAATGTAACGATAACAAAGGAATATACGTGATTTGTAACTATGATCCACCCGGCAATTATATCAATGAAGACCCATTTGGCAACTTGCCTAATCCTGGGAATTTGTTGAATAATTCACTAGCATTGCTGCCGAAACCTCCACTACCGTAACGCCAAAAGCCTATGCAAATTGGTGAATAATATGGTGGGAGTTTAAGGAGAATTGATCATGGCTTGGCTAATCAGCTTCCAGGAAATTTATCTTCTTTTTTTTACTATATCTTAAAACATGGCAAGAAATGCGGTCTGTGCTTGTCTTTTATATTATATTTATATTGAAATTTAAAAGTTTTATACTTAAACTGTAGACGGTGGTATATATTGTTGGGTTTCCAGTTTCCTCCATTGGTATCTGAGATTGTTTGACGATTTAATGTTCATAACTTAATATGAGTGGAAATTGATTGCACCTCTGATCTATAACCTTCACGATTCAATCTGGGTTTCATGCATCTGAAATTAATCATAGCAAAAAAGAAAGATAAATCCTTACATGTATTTACATTTTCTCACCACACAAACTCACAAAGCGAAACTATGGAAGCTTTCAATCTGAAGAGAAGACCTTTGTTTCCAACTGATATGCATTAGTGAAGAAGGCAGGCCAACAGAGGTATGTTGACATGATGCTGCTAACGGTAGAGGCACCAATTAGCATGTTCATCACAACAATCTGCAGTTGAATAGCCTCTAGGGGAGAAGCGCCTCCCATTATGAGGCCAGTCATCGCCCCTGGAAGTGAGATAAGACCCACTGTTTTGGCATTGTCCAACACCGGAGAGAGTGCAATAACTAGAGCCCTTTTCACTTGTTCTAACGTTGCTTGACGAGGAGTTGCCCCAAGAGCCAAAGCTGTCTCCACCTGTAAAGTGATAGCAAAGCGATATGAAGTCAATAACAGAGGAGAATTTCAGAATGAAGGCTTGTTGACAATGAAAATATTTTAAAAACAAAGATGTTTAGAAGGGCTTATTAATCAAATCAAGGGATATTAAGAAAACCAGAGGCCTAGGGAAAATTGAAGGCCAAGGAGCTTTATTTCATATTCAGGATTGGCTACAGTATCATGAAAGATTTGAATTTCTTGATCATGAATGCGAGAAAATCATGTTATTTCCCCACAAACGAGAAACAACATTGCAGAAATGTTCAGTTCCTCCTAACTTCATTAAAACATAGGCAGGTATTTGCTATATTGGAACTTACCAGGTTCATTTGTATCTTGATATCATCTCGAAGTCCTTTCATTGTCACTCCAGTTACTGTCATTGCATTCCCAACCATCATTCCTGCAACAGGGATAATATATCTGGGAGTGAAAGGGAATACATTTAGTACAACAAGAACAAACATGGTCACTGCTGTTCCAGCCAGGATAGACACTCCAGCAACATACTTCCCGCGGGGCACATGTTTAGCACGTTGGCAAGCTGTATATCCAGCAACAGACACCTGCAATCCATGTTTCCATGCATCCATTAGTCTCGGACTATCGACGGTGAATGCCACATTGTGAGGAATTTTTCCAAACATATATTGTGATGAAACTTAAGAGGGAATCAAGAGCATTGACAAGCAATATCCATTTAAATTCAGAAATGTCACAAAGTTGAACCAAAGAAAACTTAGGAAATTCCTCTTTGCTATTTTTATTGAAGAGGCTACATAATTAGTTGAAATTGGAGGACATCAGAACTGCAGTTAAATTATTTGTTCCGCTTTCGTTTCAGCACACTTTGGAAAGCATCTGCAATTCTACATAGACAAATATATACTAAGAAATAGTCATTGTCTGGGGTTTCATATATATTTTTCTTTAACAAGACTACTGTAGATGATTCTGCTTTTGGTCGTACCAGGTAAGCAAAACTATATGCATAAAATCTATGTACCAAACTTGGGAATAACAAATAAACATTTCTTATATGATTTTAACACTCCATAAGCATATATAGTATTTCTGGTAACCTTTCTTTATGTTAGAAATCCAACTATTTGGGAAGAATCCCGAAAACAATGGCAGCCAAAAAAGCACAACAGAACGAGAATTCTGCTTCATGTGGTCAATGGAGTGAGAAAGGCAGTAAATTTAATATTCAAATATCTCACTTTTCAGTTTCTCAGCTTACTAAAAAGAAACATTAATCTAAGGATAAAAACTTTATCCAAATTAGCTAAACAGAAAGAAAAGCAAGAAAGTTAAAGACAAACCATGAAAAGATAAGCAAGAACGATCCACCCACTGTTCTTCTGGTTAAAAATGAACTGAAGAATAAACCCAATAACGGAAAGCTGAAGAAAAGCTCTTAAAATAGAATAAATCATCTCTTTTTCTATACCCAGCTTTTGCATGAAAGACAAGAGCACCGCCATGAGAACCACCGCAAGGGCAGCCACTGGCTTGATCATGCCTTTTAGAAACTCAAACAACCAATCCCAATCCATTGAAAGTTGGAGATGTGCCTGAAAATCCACCAAGTTGATGTTCATTACAGAGCGGCTAGCTACCTTTTTTGCTTGGTGCTTATTCTTTTATATGGTTGAAGTAAAAGGAAGGAAGAAGCTACTTCCCCTGATGAGAAAGCTTGCCACTTGAGTCATCTCGTGGAGTTACGATTAGAGAGGCTTATAATTAGAAAAATTAAACAAAAGACGATTCTACTTAATTATTTTTTAATGATTTGGCGCAAGTAACAGGGATGTACGGACGATTGATACGAAACGGGAAAGGTTTGTCCCCGTGGAAACGTGTGAGTGGATGAGAACAAGCGAAAAGTTGTTTGAAATGCAAAAGAAAATCTAGTTGAAATAAAAATGTGACAAGTTGCATTTGAAGGGCAATGACCCTCCCTCACTCATCTACTTTGGTAACAGATGAACCTGCACGTTGTTCAGATCATTTATCTCTAAAGGACAAATTCTAGGGAAGTAAAAACAACGAGGGTTTAGATTTTATCATACTTTAAAATACGATACAATTAAGTTTATCGTGACATCAATTGAATTTAAATATTAATTTTAATAAAATTTATTAAATATAAATTATTTTATAATTTATTTTAATTACAATTATAATAATAATTATTATTTTTTTAATTTTATTACTCATTTAAATGGACTCTAAATTTTTTTATAATTAAAAATAAATTATGCAAATTTTTAATAAAATATTAAAGTTTTAATTTAATAATCAAAATTTAAATAAAAAACAATAGAACATATCTAACCGCCTCCCTCCATGTTCAAGCTTGCAACACTTTTGTAAAAAATAATAATAATAGTAACATTATTTGGGACCAAGTATACCTCAGATATCACCTGTCAAGTTGGAACTAGTCTGGTCTAACGTGGAATCTGTTGTATGAAAATAGAAAGAATTTGGGAAAGGACAAATGGATGTTGAGAGCAACGGTTGGACAGTGGCGGAGTGGTTGAATTCAGTGATAATTGTAAATGACAAAGTACTAGTTTTTATTTAATGGCTTTATTTGGAAGGTGGTCGATTCCTTTGGGTTAGGATTGAAAAAGTTTATGAAAAAAGGTGCATGTTTCTAATGTGACAAATAAGTAAAGCTAAATTATTTAAAAATATCTGAATTATTTTTTAAAATAAATTGTTATATTTTTATTATAGTCAAATAAGTATATATATTTTAATTTATATTCAAATAAATTTTTATTTTAAATTAAAAATTTTTTATATTAAGGGTTTTTTAAGTACAATTTAAAGATTTTAAAAAATTATTTAGATATAAATTAAAGGTTAATGAATTATTTAAATATAATAAAAATATAAAAATTTATTTAAGTAAAGTTTTTAAATTTAAAAGCTTTTTTATCATCTTAGTTAAAAATTAATCTAGTATGTTTCAGCTTTGGACCCAGATGGAAAATTATTGAGCTAAATTTGGGGTTGAGAATTTGGAACAAGACCCAAAATCTGCTTTAAAGCCCAAATCAGAAAGCCGAAGTATAATAATGCAAATCAAAGAAACATTAGGGAGAAATTTGTAGTTTTGAATTTCTAAAACGACGCACAGCAGCCGAACCACATTCTACTCTATTCACTCTCTTGTTTCGCTCGGCCGCTGCTGCTCATTCTTCCATATTCAGCTTGCATTCTAAAGGGGCAAAAACCTCGAACAGCATTTAGAGAAAGAAAAATGAATCTCCTCCGAAACGCAATCAAATCGCACGTTTCGGTTCGAACGATCAGGCCAATCCACGCCTTACCTTCGTTCCTTCGCGAATCGCCTAAACGTTTCTCAACCGAAACGGATCAACCACAACCACCACAACCCGACGCCTCTGTCGATCAATTTCTCGAAGCGGCAAACAGAGGTTAATCCCTAAATCATCTCTTTATTTGTTCTCCAGTTCTAAAAGTAGGCTCCTATGGTTTAGGGTTTATCCAGAATCCCATTTTTTATTTTTTCACTGAAATACTTAACAATTTTTAAACTCTATTTAGGATTTGTTTATGCGAGACTCTCTGGAACATCAAAGTATACAATGAAGAGCGATATAATCAGCTTGTTTGAAGGGTGTAATCTAACGGCTGATGATATTAAAGTCAGCTACAGTCGCAGCCTTCTTCCTGTTGCAGTGTAAAATTCTTTATTTATTTACTTTTTCTTAACTATTTAGAATTTATTCAAGATTACATATTTTGGAAATTGGGTTTTCTTTAGATTTTTGAAAGGAATGAAATTTTCTTTCTTTGTTTGCAATTAGGATGTTGCGGTTTTCATCACCTGGTGTATTTAGTAATGCAACAAGGACGATTAGAAGGTTTGATCGGCTGTACAGGTTGGAAAGGGTAAGTTTAATTTGATTGTAAATGAGTCTGACAAGGTTTGATTGATAATGTTGGGTTGATATTTGGTTCTTTTCTTGTGGTAATGACCTGGGTGGTTTTTTTGGATATATCAGGTTAATGCTTCTGATTGGGATATAGTTAGACCATATAATGGGAAAACTGTAAGTCAAAGATTTATTGTTCAGTTGATTGGATTTTTTACATTTTTGAGAACATGATATAAATATAGCTGGCTAGTTATGAATAGATTACAACATTGCGGCATAAGATTACAACATGAAACTATTAGCTACATGATATAAATATGGTTGGCTAGTTATGAATAGATTTTTTAACTCTTTGAAAACATTATGGCATTCTTGCTTACTAAAATAATCTTTACATTACAGCATTCTTGCTGAATAAAATAATCTTTACAGTATTTAGTAGTGGTGGTAGTGGCATACAGGATTTATCTTTTCAACACAAAATTTCCATTTATTACATTGGACCATAAGGTTTATATTTTTATTTTGACTTGTCTTCTTTGTAAGGGTCTAAATTGTTTAAGATTTTAGATAGAGCTTCTATCATAGTCATTTAAGAGCATTTCCATAAATTTTCCATCATTTGATATAAACAATGTCCAAAACTTTGCAGCTGAAAATATTTTTATGTCATTTTTAAGACTGGCTTACTCATTAAGGATTGATCTTATCTGAGTTTGCCTGAAAAAATTTTTCAGGTGGTACTACAAGGACTCCCTCGAAGTGTGAATTTAGAGGATATAGAGCGTTTCCTCTCTGGTTGTGATTATGATTCATCCTCAATACAGACGGCTACATTTACAAGGCCAGGATCCACCAACCTTGTCAGATTGACAACTGTGCAATTCCCTTCACAAATCCAAGCAATGAATGCATGCATCAGCAAAAACAGAAACCTCTGTCTCAATAATCAAATCTCAATGCGAGTTCTGCACTAAAAGTTCAGTCTGTTTGAGGTATTGCTTTAAGATTGACTATAATATTAGACTTCATTGCCCCAATTGAATTATGTGAAAATTTTGCCTGTTTGGTAATCATGAGACACGATGGAGCTATTTATATATTTGAGCGCATAAGTGAGTGCTATCTATATTTTTGAGCACATAAGTTCTATGGTGCTAGACTTTGACAATTTGATTATTGAAATCATATTGGTAGGAAATAATGAAATATTGCAGCTTGTTTTGTTTTGGTGGTTCTTACTATAGTTCTTTATTGTATTGATATCAAATCATCGTATCATAATTGCTATTTATATTTATATTCTACTAGCAAAATTGATTCTTAGGCTGATAGTAATTTGGGAGGAAGATTGGAAGTTAGGACCTGCATTTAGCCGGATTAATCATTATACTGGCTGCCAGTGATTTTTTTTTTTTTTTAATTTCACAACTGGATGTATACTTCAGCAGAAATGTTGATGTTTTTATATCTCATTTGACAACAATCTCGTCCAACATTGAAAATTCTGATCGGACTACAATTTGAGCAAATACAATTTCCTACACGATATCTCAATCTACAGTAAGGTTAAAACGTATACTAGGTGTTTTCTTCTGACCAAAAAAATTCAATTGGATGCCCCCCCCTCACACCACTGAACTCAATCTCAGATGATCAGATACATGCAAATCAAAACTAAAAACTGTTTACGTTTTGACCAACTTGACTTGCAGAAGGCCGGAAACCAATTAGCAAATATCCGGAAATGGCCCTCCAACAATGACTGTTATTAGACTTGGAGGATGTTAAAACTTGCTATGGATCAGAGAAACCAAAACTCTGATGATATTCAAGGTTTCTTCAAGTTGTTGATTTTATCACCTAGGCTGTTTATCTTTCTCCTGCCCTAAGCTTCAAGTGAAATTTTCACCAATCGTATTGCTAAGATTCCAGAAATTGATTATAACTGCAGCAAGCCAGATCACGAATATCATCATATCCATCCTTGATCCATTCACCATGCAATTATATCCGCAACGATGATTCAATGTTTCATACGTCTCGAAAAGGCTTGACCAAGTATCCTCATCTGAGCCCTGTACACTGAAAAGACAATCATGAGTTCATGACCCTTTGCATCATATTGCATAATCCTCTGGCAACAAAATAAGACATTTCTAAAGTAGTGAAAAGCCAGAAAACCAGAATTGAATGATGCTTATAACCACATCCTGATTCCGGTACAGAACTTAAATTGTTGAACAGAAAGCATCATCAACATCTTCCTCGTGCATTTCTGGCACATAACCTAACATTCTCATATGGTATACCAAGCAACTCAAAACACCAAGAATTTCAGACACCTTAGTATTTGATTTGTCTTCTGCTCTGAACCTATAAAGTTCGTTCTTAACCTCAATCCAGCTGTACCCAGGATTGGTTTTGAGTCCTTTATCTTTCATCTGTTTACGTACTCTAGCTGCCTGATCCCACCGCTTTGCACTTGCATATAAATTGGCCAACTGAACATGGGTAGCAGCACACCCAGGTTCTAACAATAGCCTGCCCTCGGCAGCCTCTATCCCAATCCAAATGCTCCCATGAAGCCTGCAAGAAGAAAGCAAAGAACCCCATATAACAGCATTGGGACAAATCGGCATCTTTAAAATAAAATCTCGAGCCTCCTCTAGTAATCCAGCGCGGCCAAGAAGATCAACAACACATGAATAATGATCCAGCGCCGGCTCAACACCATGCGCAACCATTGAATCAAAACAAACACGGCCTTGTGCAACAAGACCCGCGTGACGGCACGATGAGAGCACTCCAAGAAAAGTAATAGCATCAGGTTTTATCTTCTCCTCCTTCATCTTTTCAAAAAGATCTAAAGCCTCCATTGCAAGGCCATGTTGAGCATACCCTGCGATCATTGAATTCCAAGATACAATATCTTTATTACCACCCATCTTATCAAATATAAATAATGCATCCTCAACACTCCCACATTTACAATACATAGAAACAAGAGCATTACAAATATAACTATACGAATCGAAACCCATTTGAATAACTTGACAATGAGCACTTCTCCCTTGCCCCAAAGCTCCACTACCAGTACAAGCTGTCAAAAGACTTGTCAATGTGAAATCATTTGGCTTTAAAGTCAAATTCTTCATCATATTATATAGCTCCAAACACATATCAATCTGCCATCCTTGTGCGAATCCAGCAATGATAGTAGTCCAAGAAACTACATTTTTAACAGGCATTTCTTCAAACACTTTATAAGCCTTTTCCAACTTGGCGCATTTCCCATAGAGAGTAACCAAAGAACTTCCCACATAAACGTTTGGGAAAAACCCAGTTTTTATTGCTAAGCAATGATACTGAATTCCACCACAAAGGTTATGTTTTGACCCACATGAACTTATAGCATTCGACAGGACAACTGGATTAAATTTTGAATTTTCTTTGTTTATAACAGGAGACTCTAGAAATTCATTGAAGAAAATTGGGAGATTTTCTGTTGGTGAATCTGAATAAGCAAAATCATTGAAGAAATGTTGGGCAGCAAATTGATCAGAATCTGTTTGTAAAAAATCTTGGATGAGACGAAGATGGTTGTGGCGGGAAGTGGAAGGAGTTGGTTTGGAGGATATGATGTCCCTGATTCTCAATGGCAATGCCTTGTTTAGTTTCTTGCTTAGAGGATTCATTTTTAGTCTGTAAGAAGAGAGAGGACTAGATTGAGAAAGAAAGAAGAGAAAGGACTTCCTTTGAACAACTGATTTAAGTAGAAGTATATTCATGGCTGAGAGCAGAGCACCCCATGAATGAATGAATCCAGTTTTCAACAACTGAAGGGTAAAAACCTGGGCCGTTTATTGTTTACTACTTACTACTTGTTAGAACCAGAACGCCAACGAGTTACAGGATTGAAACGAGAATCTCTTATACACGTGTGGCGTTGGCTGTCTTTTACTTTATTTTATTTTTTACTTTTTTAAAAAATAAAAAATTAAGCTTTACGAATCATAATCTTTGTTGGGGACACTACCAGTTCAAGGTCATCATCAGTAGCGTAGAATGGAGAACTAAAACCAAAACCATCGCCTTGACTGAAGAAATATAAATTGGACTCTTAACCCATTAACCCATTAAAATTTTCATCCAGAACGCTTTGTTTTGAAATGTTCATCGTTTCAACTTGGCCTACTCAAAATTATTATTCATACTAAAAACCATCTCACTAAAAGATGAAAAATTAACTCAGACTACAAAAGAGATAGTATAGCTTCATTGGAGCTGAAATGCTAGGGAGCAAAAAGCTGAACAATATGTGATATAGCTTCCTTCATGGGATTTCTCGTTGCCTTCTCCGTTTCTTTGTAGATAAAGTAGCATCATACTCGAAGTCATCCTCTTCTCTTTCTCCATGCAAATAGAACCATAACCTCCTCTCTCCATTGAATTGCACACATGGGTCATGTTCATAGTGCAATCGGTCCAAGGCGCCACTGACAACCTGATTAAGTTGTTCTTCGGAGATTTCTTCCACAATGTATTGCGAGTCTCTTATCAGAACACAAACATCGGCTCTAGTACCCATACCGGCTGGCAATCTGGCAGCCGCATCCCTCGCGAGAGAGAGAACTGTGATATTAGGGGGCCTATCAGCTTTAAGCATAAAATGCTTTCGGCATTTTAATGATGGCTTGCCACTGCACCTTCTCAGTGGAGCAACAGTGGATTTTCTACCATCTAAGGCAGTGTAAGAAAAGGCCCTCTCTGGAATAAAATACCTAATCGCTTCTTCCTTGCGGAAATAGTCCCTTATTTCTTTAGGGCATTGACTAATGGTAGCCACCATCTTTCGAGGTCTAACTTCTCTTAATCTTTCGTTCACATTGACAGTCCGATGCATCAAAGTCAATGGTGGTGCAGGAAGGTCACCAATCTTCTGAAGACTCTCTTGAGCAATTTTCAACCAATCTGCAAAGCAGTTGACCAATTTCAGAAGGGTCCTGCTTGGAAGACCCCAAGCTGCCGAAGATACAGCTTCCTTCATATGATTGTGTGGCTTAATAGCTACTGGACCAATCCAGGACCAACTCTTGTTAGACTTGGAATAAAGAGTGAGAGCCTTCCAGGCCTTTGCCCCAAGAGGTGCTGTTGTTGAAGAAAATATTGTCAAAGCACCTCTAACTAACTCCTGAAGTGGCTCCCGAGCTTTGAGAATACAAGGATCCCCAGGATTCAATCTGACACGCTCAACAATTTCATGCATAGTGAGACAAGGTAAACTCTTCTGCTCGCCTTGTGAATTACTGATTCCCTTTCTCTCATGATACCTGCTAACGCTTTTAGGATTGCTTTTAGCAGGATACTTGCTAACTGCCGAAGGATGATCTTTTCCACCTGGAGTAATCAGTGCTGTGCGAATGGCAGAAAGAAAATGTATAATGGAAAATGAGAACCCCGTATGAGCAGTAGGACAACTTGAATTGAATTGCATCTTCTTAAATGGTTTTGGCTCTTGAACTGTATTATTCCCAATCTCTGATATAGAATAGGATGAATAAGCAGTTAACCCTTCAAAGGAACCAAGTTCAGCTTTCACTTTCTTTAAACCACGTTTCTGCAAAGAAGATTTCAGCAGTTTCTTTCTATTCAAAGAAGAAATGGGCAACTCAATTTCTTTAATGACATTTTCACCCTTGGTGCAATGGTAATCAAGTTCAATTTGCCTACCCATTTTTGTTCTTTCTGCTGCCTTTTTCAGCTTCAATAAGCTTAATCCTTTAGTCCTGAATTTCCCATGTCTGTTATACGGATTATCCTGCTCAACAACATCATTGTTCACATATTCCAACCACGGCCAAGTAGAATAACTGCCAACTTTCCTTGTGTTTTGGTTTCTTTGACTAAGGCAAGCTCCCTTTGATGATGGTGATTGCACTTTAGTCTTGAGCAATCCTGAATTATCATTGGATAATTGCATCAAAATTAGAGCTGCTTCTATATCTTTCTGGATACGCTTTCTGTGCTCTGCTAGTTCCACACTACCCTCACTGCTTCCTGGACCCATTTTAGCACAATTTGCTGTCCTTGAAATATTACCAAATTGAGCTACATGTTCCTTATAAGAAGGCCCTTGCATCGAACCATCTGTTTCAAGATACTTCACACTTTGTACTGCAGGAAATTGAACTCCCAACTTTCTTGTTGATGTTACTTTCGACCCAGTGTCCTTCAATTTACTTACAGGAACCTGTTTGCCGCGCTTGTTGGGATTCAAGGCCAAACTAAGCATTGCTTCAGAAGAAAAATCAGGCATCTCTCCTTCATTGAAAATGTCATCTGTCTCCGGTACACTCGCAAGTCTGATCCTTTTCTTTGCTATCATCATCTAACATGTAGATCCAAGACAATCAGTAAAGAAGAATACGGAAACAACCATAACCGAATTCTTCAGCTTTCAAAGAGACAAACAACATGACAAAATACCCTTTCGGAAAAACTAACATTATCTATTCAATTTCTATGATAATGAAAGAGGAAATAAAAAATCCAATAAGAATCAAATCATCTAAGCGTCCGGTCATTAATCATAAACCAAGTACAAAATCTAACACAAAAAAACCAAAAGAACACCCTTGATTAAAGAGAACAAGAAAAAGGCTAGCTTTATTCAACATTTTGTTAATACTCCATTGTTAGCCCAGTACACTTTCATATAGCATAGATAATTGACAGTTCTATTCATGTTCCTTCATTTTTCTTCTAAGATAAAGCGTCCAAGCATATATAAAATGAAAAAGATAATCTATCTGAGCAGAAGAGTCTTAAATAAACAAGTGAAAATTTTCCTATTTGTTTTCCGGAGTTGGTGTATTTGTGGTTCATTGGACACTCTAAAGAATTATCAAGTTAAGCAGTTGAAAGTTTTACCTCAATCTATGTTCTCAAGAAACGAAAAATAAATCAAGATTGTTTTGAAGCCCTTGGAAAACAAACGGACAGAGAGAAGGAGGGAAGAAGAGAAGATGAAGAACCGTGCTTATATGTATTCCATTCGACGACCCAAATGAGAACGATTGCTTGTCGTTTTAAAGTGGGGGTCTACACTTGAGAAAAAGACAAAAGCAAGACAAGGAGAGTGACGGTAAAAGGGCTGAGTTAGGGGCCCATTTGGAATTTTGTTTGGTGGGTGTTTCCGTTTTGCAAGCGTACTTTTCGTTCTACCACCCTTTATTGAATAAAAAAAAAAAAGAAAATTTTCCATAGCTTGATGGTATAATTTCAATGTAACTAGTAAGTGCAAAACAAAAAGATTCCATGAAAGTACCATAGTAGCATGCTCATGCTCATCCTGAGAATGAGAATTCTTTCTCTTATCCTTTTTCAGACTCATTTGTGTTCATCCTTTTACTTCCCACACCTACATTATCAATTTTTGGTACTCTTCCTCAAGTTCTACATGATCATTCTCCTTCATTTCATGCTCTTGTGACTTCACTTGACTGGAAACTGGATGCAATAATTGAACAACTCCTATTTATGAAGTTCCATGGAAATGGGTTTTGTAGCACTTTGAAGTGAAGAAAATTGCATTCCATGTGATGAAAACATGCAACCAAAAGTTTTTTTTTATCGAGTTAAATACATATTTGCTTCCTAAATTATACTAATATTTTTGTAATTATGTCACATTGATATTTAATAAATAAAAATTTGCAATTAAAATCCAACTAGATCATATTGCTTTAAAAGCCACCGACCTGGACGCTTCATATGGCAAATCCCGGCGCCCTAATGGCCGGATTTCATGGTTGGGGATTGGGATAGCTTCATTGCTTGCCCAACTAGAGATTTCACGGAATAATGAAGCCAAAAACCGACATCTGCACTCTCCGCCCTCCGCCGTTCTCAACTCTCAGATCTCAGCTTCCGCCACCACTGCTGCTACACCCTTCCACCGCGTGAAGCACCGTGACCTTGACGCTGTGCTCCTCCTCCTCTTTCTTTATGAAACACGCCAACGTAACCCAGAAGTCCAAGATAGGCCTCATGCTGAATGGCGCGAAGTCTTAAGTAACATCTTCTCTGACGCCACGTTAAAGATCACCAGTATTACTGGCATCTTCGATGGTGCTGCTTTGATTCCATATTTTGAAATGGTGGCGAGGTGTCGAGGTTTTTTGGAATGATGAGGTGGGAAGGAAAGGAAGGAGGTGGCGGCATCAACGGCAGCGGTGCTGGCGTTACTACCAGTGGAGGTGAGAGGGGTTGGCGTCGAGTGTGTGATATGCAAGGAGGAGATGAAAGAAGGAAGAGACGTGTGTAAATTGCCATGCAAGCACTTGTTTCATTTGACCTGCATATTGCCTTGGCTGAAGAAGAGGAATACATGCCCCTGCTGCATGTTTCAGCTTCCCTGAGATGATATATTCGGTGAGATCCAACGGCTGTGGAGAGTCCTGATCAAGGCGAGTGGCAAAAGTTCTTATTTTTATGCATGCTCAATAGGAACAAGCTAGGCTCTAGCAGCCTACTTCAGTTGGTCCTCTTTTTTATTCGAAGCCCATAAACTTCTCGGGCATCCAATTCTTCTGATATTTCCAAGGTAAGATGATATAAAAATCAATTGGATTGGATTTGGGGGTGCAATCTCTGATTCACTCTGTCATTTTTATTATATATTTGAACAAAATATAATATGCACAAAACAAAAGTAAAAAAAAAAAAAAAAAAAAGAAATAAACAGGTGAAGAACTAATTCAACTTAAGATTTGGACAGTCATATTATCATGGGATGAAAGTATGCATCTCAAAAGATAACTGGCGCTACTCAGCAACACTCCAAAAAAAAGACAAATTTAAAAAAAAAAAAAACGGTGGTCCACCTCATGTTCAAATTCCCCAGGGACTGCTTAATCTGATACAAAACATTCTCCAAATGAAATGCTTAATCTGATACAAAAGAAACCAAGCTGGCTCCCGAGATAAAGATAGTCAACAAAAGTACAGGTGAAGTTCTTGATACTCCAAGGCATGGTAGGGAAAAAATTCAGAGCTCAATGGAAAGAAGACAAAAGATTAGAGTTAGGCCATCTTGAATTCATACAACAGTGAATTATTGTCCCATTCAGATAATAAAACAGAAGGTGACAGATGTTCTTTTCTTGCATTGAAGCAAAATGGCAAGACAAATAGTGTGAAACTGCATTATATCGCTTGTTTTTATATTGCCTTAATCACTTCATGAGTTTGGAATATGTAAGCATCAAAAAGTGAAATAAGAACAAATCCATGTAAAGCGAGTTACCTTGCCTTCCTAAAAAGTAGTAAATAAATGTGTCACTATTGTATCTCCTGGCTTCTAGATTCATTGACAAGTACAAATAATTGATCAAGTTCTTGTATTGTAGCCATTCAGCCATTAATGTTGTAGAGTCAGATTATGGTGTTCATGGTTGTAGATGGTCCAGGACGTGGAAGGTGAGCCAACCAAATTGATCTGATTGCGGAACATGTAAAAGCTGGAATGCATGTACCAAATATATATCCGTCAATCCAATACCAGGGCAATGGACCCGTTTCTCAGCTGTCTGTCTGGTAAAGATTGCAATTCTTCTCTTCTTTTCCGCAAGTCAGACAAAGACGTCAGTAAAACTTTGCTATTGAAACAAGTTCTTCCCTTTTCTTCTTTTACAGATATCCCTTGACACGTAAGTAGGAAATGAATGAGGAAATCAGTCACTGATAGCCAAATTACAGGATAATATGAGTAAAATTCAATTGCAAAGAGTTTCTAATCCCAGCTTGACATGGTAAGAGTTTCTACAAATTGATGATTGCCTGAAATGCTTGTTAACGGAGTTTAGGAAAGGGTCAAGTACGAAAATAGCCACGAAAAAAGGCTAAGGAAGCCCGGTTTTTCTCAGAACAGAACTCCTGAAATGATGGCTGATTAAAGTAATTACAAAATATCAAACATGAAAAGTGAAAACATACCATTAAATGAGAAAAAATTGCCTAAAACGTTGGATTATTGCAAATAAACACTAAGGAAACTTCAAATCCTAGCCATGCAATAGTCACATAACTTAGGACAACCACTTGGGCAAAAGAACATAGGAAAAACACAAGAGGCTAAAAAACAAGAAGGGGACCAAAGAACAATGTTACAACAATGTCAGAAGTCGGTGATTTAAATCTCTTTTATTTCTCATCTTAGATCTCCTCTGGCTACAAAACTCAAAATTTCTGCCAAAAAACTCCAAACTCTCCTCTTATCCATTGCTTCGTTAGATCACTTCGATCTCAGACCAATCTCTGTCTATATCAAATCCCAATGTGCTTTTCCAGCTAAGTCTGTTGCTAAAACATGGCACACAGTGAAGGGACCAAAAACATTTAACCGAGATTCAAGGTACACAGCCACCAGCACAGCTCCATATTCCCTGAACTCACATAAAAATTATTGCTTTCTTGTCTCAAGCACACACTTTGCAGTTGAGTTAGCCCATACCCAACTTGGTCCTTGTCTGAGAATTGGTCAGATACCGAGATGAATGGAGTCTAATTCCTGGTTATATAGTTCCAAGTACTGGGGTTTCTAGTATTGTAGAACAAACAGAAACTTGAGAGCAGATTGAGTCTTGGTCTTCTTTATCAGGGTTTTATGAATATATTGTCTGATGGTTCACTTCAATAATAGATGTGAAATATTGGTTACCTGAAAATGGTTAAATCGTGTTGGAAGCCATCTGTTGAGGGTGATTCTGGGGGCCGTGTTGATGGGTTGTTGTGGTATAAAGATTTGGGGCAACATGTTTATGGAGAATTCTCAATGGCTGTGATTCAAGCCAATAGTTTGATAGAGGATCAAAGCCAACTCGAATCAGGGCCGTTGAGTTCGAGTAGTTCCGGTCCTTATGGGACTTTCATCGGTGTATATGATGGACATGGTGGAGCTAAGGCGTCCCGCTTCATCAATGACAACCTTTTCTGCAATCTTAAGTGTACGTTTCCACTTCACTTTTTTGCTATTACTTCAATTTGGATTGGGACTAAGCAATTATGTATGTTGTTCAATCAGTTCCTGCTTAACACAAGCAAGAATGAACTCCTCTTTTCTCCCTAGTTTCTCGAAGCACCGATAGTGGTGATACAGTTTACTCCAACAGTTCCATTGATTTTTTTTTTTTTTATGAAATTTTAGTTTTGATGGCGAAAATGTTTATTCTGTTTCCTTTGATATGCAGCATTTGCGTCTGAGCATCAAGAGATATCAATAAATGTTCTAAGAAAGGCTTTCTCGGCAACAGAAGAGAGTTTTCTTTCCCTTGTGAGGAAACAGTGGATTGGTAAGCCACAGATGGCGTCAGTGGGATCATGCTGTTTGACGGGAGTGATTTGCAATGGACTGCTATTTATTGCAAATGTTGGTGATTCAAGAGTAGTCTTAGGCAGATCAGAAAGAGGAACCAAGGAACTTATAGCAATGCAATTATCTACAGAACATAATGCAAATATAGATGCTGCAAGAGAAGAGCTTCGGTCATTGCATCCTCATGATCCACAGATTGTTGTGATGAAACACAAAGTATGGCGTGTAAAGGGCCTGATACAGGTTATATTTTATTCTTTCTTCATCCTTTTTTTTTTTGTTCTGGTAAAAGTTAACATAGCCGGACTGAAAATAAATTCATCTGTGGATTATTTCTGACTCCTTATCTTTGCAGATTACAAGATCCATTGGTGATGCATATCTAAAGAAGCTAGAGTTCAACAAAGAGCCTCTCCTGCCTAAATTTAGGCTGCCTAAAGAGTCCTTCCAAAAGCCGATCCTTAGTGCAGAGCCATCATTGTTAGTACACAAACTCCGCCCTGACGATCAATTTCTCATATTTGCTTCTGATGGTTTGTGGGAGCACCTTAGCAGCCAGGAGGCTGTCAAAATTGTCCAGAGTAGCCCAAGAAATGTAAGTTACCAGATAGCTGTGGTATGATGAATGATACTGCAACTCCCCTGGTTGGGATCAGCACAAAAAAATTGTTGAGCAGGGCTTGACTGTTCTTTTTGCTTCCCCTTTTAATGCAGGGAATTGCCAGGAGACTAATCAAAGCTGCACTTAAGGAAGCAGCAAAGAAAAGAGAAATGAGATACTCAGACCTGAAAAAGATTGATGAAGGGGTGAGGAGACATTTTCATGATGATATCACAGTCATAGTTGTGTTTCTGGATCCCCATTTGATCAATGGGAGCTCCTCCTACAACTCTTCCTTAACAACAAAAGGTGGAGGAGTCCCTGCTGCTGCTGCTTTCTCATAGCCAGCCAGCAATGATTGGAGTCTCAACTTTCAGTAAACTTGTGTAAACATTACCATCAAGGGTAATAGGAATACATTGAGAATGTTTGTTTATTGCCAAAGAAACTTAGGATGAGACTGCTAGATATTCTGTAGATATATGATTTCCATGTAATTTCATTTGATTGTCTGCTCTCCTTTAAAATAACTCGTTTTTAGCTTCCATTTATAGTTGATAATATCTCATTCACAATCCCAATTTATAGTTGTTAAGCCTGAACACGCTGAAATATTCCTGTTTTAACTTTATTTTAAACCCATCTTTGGATAATCAAAAGGTGATTTTCTTTCGCCCGAAATGCTAATATTCTTTTCAATCCAAAATTGATTAAAATACCATATTACTTGATATTGAGCAAATGCATTTGTGAAGAGGTAAATGTTGATTTGCATGTGAGTTTATTATTACGGCATTATTTATCTTGTCATTTTTAAAATTTCTAGTAAAATTACCAATCGTTTGTCCAACTATGTCCATGTCTACGAGTAAATTTCAGTCCTTATGCTACATGCACCAGTCACGAATGAAGTTTGCAACAGACACTCAACAACAATGCAGCTTGATTTGCAATCTCTCGTATTTGGGAAAGGCAAACCTAAATTTAAACAGATGCTACTAGTCTTAGCCAAAAAAAAAAAAAAAACAGAGTTTATAAACCCCCGGGCAAGCAAAAAAATAAAGAAAATAATTTTTACCCGTACAATTTATCTTCACTTAATAATAATAATAATAAATATTGTGACTTCACTTTTATCACCTCTTTTGAATTGCATCAACTTTAGCATGTAATAGTAAACATATCTCTGCCATGGCAATCCAGTGAAAATAATTTCCTTTTTCTCATTGTTATATCTCTCACTCACTTTCTATCCTTCTGGTTTTTAATCTTTTCCTACCAAGAAAGCCCAAACAAACTTCGTTCAAGATTATAGAGAGTGGCTCAGCACCCCATTTCAATGTACACCAATCAACAAAAATAAAAAACGATGATCAGGGTTAATTTCGACAAAAGTTGTAAAGAAAAATGTTAGATTTTCTGACTCCCCCAGTCATAGTTTAACCATAAAAAAACATCCCACCAAAAAACAAATTCCAAAGAAGCTGTTAATTTGACAAGAACACTACAACTTCAGACAAGAAGATACAAATATTATTACATGACTAGACAACAAACTAAGGAAACGTTAACAGCCTTCTATCCCAGCATAATTACCTCGCATATCAGCCAATTCACCTGGTGAGACCAAGGGAAGCTAGCAATCATCTTAAATTGTAGTGTTCACTTATCTCAAATACAAACCAGAAAAATCAGAAATTCCCATGTAACAGGCTCAGAAAGAGTTTTAGCTTTTGGATCACATAATCTCATCATTGATTGAAAATATTCTCCACATGCAATCTTCACATTATAAAACCATTCCCAGTTTTCAATATTTCTCTCATGATCAAATGCTAAACAGCAGTAGTAACATATCCACAACAGCATTGCAATGATAATTTTTCATAAAAAGATAACTAACGAACTAAGTTGAATCAATGCCATTCGAGCCATGAGTGTCATGATACAGAGCACAGATATGCAACAAACCTGCAAATGATCACATGAATAACCATGCGTGCTCAAGCACATACCCAACAAATGATTTCATTTCTGTTTTTAATAAAAGGAAATGTCAAATCTATTTAAAAGGAACAAAAATAACAAGATAAAAGTCAGCGATCAAATGAGCAAAAACAATCTAAACATAAGCATCCTCAAAAACTCCCACAATACTGCCTTTCTAATCATTTTTTAATGTAAATACAGAAAACGAACTTATCCATGTCTGCTCAGATCCAAGGCATTTAAGTCTATCATTTGTCCTACAGCCAAAAGCCCCACTCCCCAAAAAAAGACCTACAGACCCTATCCTGACATATAAAAACCAGAATAAAATAGAAAGTCCTCTTGGTTTTAGCTATTTATAAAAGAGAGAGAGCCCCGAGAAATCCTATGAAGCATGTACCATTTACTACTTTAGTTCTTTAACCCAAGTAAATATAAGTCAGACTTGATATGAATACTACTGCTGTCTCACACTTGATCATACTATGCAACTTGGAAGAGTATAAGATACTGCCCAAATATTAAAATGGCAAAGAAACAAATCGATTAATTTTTTCAAGAGGAAACTACTAACCACTTACTCTCTCAATTATATTATCCAAAAGGGAAAAGTTGAAAATTTTTAGCCATTATTCCAGAATTTTTAATGCTCTTTGTAGGATTTGAGATAGGTTAGCACTACAGGTGGTTGCTGCTTCCTCTCTAGGCCTCAACAAGTGAATAGATACCATAGCTGTGCCTGAAAAAAAAAAAAAGAAGAAAACCATCCATACTGCCAAAGAAACGTCTTCACTGCTTTAGAAATTTATCTGGGGATAAAGAAGTACTGCATCTAAGAATTCTAAGGTTGGATAGAAAACACTGTAAAGTAGCTGCTGAGGGAATCAGAAGCTGTTAGGACACTAGACCTGACAAAGAAAAGAAAGAGATAATTGAAATATAAGTAATCGATAATAATACAAATGGACTTATTTAAACAAATATATTTGTGTGCATAGATGTATATATGCAAGATTAAAGCAATATATATCTCGAAAGATACCTTCTAAATATGTAGGCAAGTCTATTTAGGGTCCTCCACCAGCCTTTCCAGCAATAGGAGCCCCCTGACAAAAAAGGAATAGAAATCAGTATCCTAGACACCACCTTTAAAACAATTGATTTTCTCCTATCAGAGAAATCCGCCAGAGAAACAACTAATTAAGGCCGTACTGGTTCAATATTCCCCTTGCCGTTCACCTGTGGTAAAGAACTTGATGGAGGAGTAGAAAACCTGGAAAGACAGGGAAAAATCACAGTTCAATAAACCTTTTCAATACAGATTTCTGAAGGGGCATTTACAGATCTCTAACAATGTAGGAAACAGCTCTTCAGCATTGGAACATACCTGATTGCCCTTGCTTTTCTTTTTTCTTCTTCCACTGTATCAGTTTTGGAATATGGTGCAAATCTGGCAAGACGTGCTTTCTTTTTGGCCTCCTCATCGGTAGCTGTAGAGGGTACAACAAGCCCAAACCTGAGAAACCATACAAAATTTAACAAACTGACAAAATGCAACTGCAAGCCATATAGACACTGGGTAAAGGTGGAAACAAAAAAAAAAAGAAAACCTCTCTGCTCTGGCTTTCCTCTTCAAGTCCTCCGATTGCTTTGATGCTTCTGATCCATTCGAACTGGGTGCAGTGCCAAACCTAAACATGATTGGTCCACAGTCAACAAGTTAGAAACACAAGGAAAGGTCAAGAAATGAAGTTCGACATAAACAACTACAGCTTTACCATCAACAAAAACCCTTAACACTACAACATTATAAGGATCCATAGAATTTCTCTGTAACCACATAAAACTAAGGTAAGATTCGTCTTAACTTGCCAAGCTGTTCCAGCCAAACACGCAGGCATGCTTAGTAACAGGTAAGACTATGAAGGGGTTAGACTCATCTCTAGATAACCAATGGATAAATTGATTAAATTTAAGACACAATAATTTTGAAGATGATGAGCTGCTAAGAGATTATAAACACTATAGAACAAGAAAATAAACACGAGAAACCAATTCAAGAGCATTAATCTATGCTTCTCAGCACATCAAGAACCAAACATGGCATTTAAAGAAATAAATCAAAATAAAATAAACAATTTCTGCTCTGTTCTTCAGAAATTCTCATCGACAAGGTACAAAACAAAAAGAAAAACCCTAAATACCCGATAAACCCCGAATATTACGCAAAGAAATAGGGAAAATAAAAGTTGTTACCTCTCAGCCCTGGAATTACGCTTCTCTTGCTCGGACAACTGGACAGGTACGCCGAACCGCTCAGCTCGGCGAATCTTCTTCTGGGTATCGTTAACGGGACCGCCGCTATCCCCTGCGACCGAGCCCACAGTAGTCCCGATGGTCTTCGAAATCTCGTTCTCCTTTAGAGATACTTCAGAAGCAGGAGTATCAGTGATACGAGGATCTGACTTATCCGTGGAAGGCGGGGCGGGGTACAAGGTATTCTTAGAGTTTGGATCTGCCGATGAATTGGCGACGGAGCCTGGAGTGGTGGTGGTAATGGTAGTAGTGGCGACGGGTTTCTCAGCGGTTGCCATCGGAGAGGTAGGAAGGCCGGAAAGTAGGGTTACGTGAAGACTGAAAGCAAAGGTTGGTAGGTAGCCGGCTAACAGCGTGAGGCGGCCAGAAGTTTTTTTTTTTTTTTTTACTCGCTAATTTTTTCGTTTGTGTAAGGCAAGCAAAGAATAAAAAATCAAAAAAGGCGTGAACTTTTTCTTTTTCTTCTTTCCAATTTTCTCTCCAAAGAAAATATTGAGCCCAAATGTAAAACGCGGTGGGATGTTTTGTCGTTCTTTCAGGGTCATGTTTGGCGGTCAAAGCTCTACTTATCCGGCATTTTTACATTTCTTATTTTTTTAACCATGGGCAAAAAACCTTTGTTTAACTCTAATAATTAGTAAATCTAAGTAATTTTTCTTTTAATATTCAAAATTTTAAAAAGAGCAAGAGAGTAATTATATTGATAGGAATATATTTTAAATTAATGTCAATTTTATTATTGTATATTATCTATTAATATTATTTTTTGTCATTATTTTTAATTATTAAATTTTTATTAGATTTTTAATCTTATTAATTTTAGTTTATGAAAATTTACCACATGTATCGCTAAAATATTTTGTAAAATATTTTAATTAATTACTTTTGTTAAAAATTAATAAAATTAAAAGTATAATTATATAATTGATAAATTTGAAGTAAATAAGTACAAAACTTAATGTCAAATCTAATCTAATATTATAATAAATTTTACCCTAATCTCAATCCATTTCCTTTTTTCCAAATTTAATTGTGGAATTTATAAAGTGAATTTTTTTCATCTCTAATGAAATTATATATCAGTGTTTTATTAACTCATCATAGTTTGATGATATAGAGTCGTGCTTTATAAGTTTAACCAAAATTTTTTTATATCACCTTGCAAGTGAAAATTTACTATTATTACTAAATTATGAGCCATAAAATGATATAGAAAAGAATTAAATGAAAATTAATTAGGTGAAATTTGTAAAATTTTTTATTAAAAATAATTAAATAAATTTATAATTAGAAATTCAAATCAATAAGTTAAAAGATAAATTAAGTTTGTAAATTTTGAAAAAATTTAAATATATATTTTTAAATAGATTTTTTTTAAAATTTTTGACATAAATTTTATGATTGAAAAAATAATAATCAATTTTGAATTATAAATGCTTAGGATAAAATTTTGAAATATAAATAATATTTTTATTTTTTCATTAAATTTTATTAATTTATCAATATTAAATTTTTATTAACAATTTTTATCATATACTTTTAATAATGAACTTCATAAACTTCAAACTCCTGATATTTGTAACAAGCATGTATTTCTTATATACCTAATAAAGTAGGAATTTCTAAGCGCAACAATAACAACAAAACTCATCTCGAGCAAAAACAATCAAACACATAAATGTACGTCTTCTTCTTCAACAATGATCTTATTGTTTTATTGTCTGAATTTCAATTGCAATAGTAAAAATTTTTTGATGAACAATCGTTGCAAATCAAAGCTGTTTTTTTTTTTTTAAAATAATTTATTTTTGTCTCGTAATTGAGATTTCTGTAAAACGGAGATATTGTTCTTGTAGAATGATTTAAAAAAAAAAAAAAAACAAAAGAAATGAATGAATGTTTTACAGGCTTGCAAGAGAAAAAGAGAATGTAAAAAGACAAGAAAACAATGAAGTGAAATAAAATATTGACATGGAGGATAATTGACTCGAGATATCTTATTGTGAAATAAAGTTTAAAAATACTCTTATTATGGAAATAAAATTAGAAAGTAACTTACTTCCGAAAAAAACTCTTCAATTTCGTCACTGCTGACTATCACTTCAACACCTCCTTAACCCCTTTATAAAGGCAAGGATGTCTTTATGCATGTGGACACATTTGTGAACCAGATTAAATCAATCCAACAAACCAAAACAGGCCGAGTTTGCAACTTAACTCACAGAATTCCCCAACAGCAATGGCTACTGAGTAAGAATCTTGAACTACTTTCTCAAATTTCAAGCTTTTCTGTCAAGTTAGCTTCTGGGTTTCTCTACAAATCATGTCTTTTTCTTTGGTTTGTAATTTTAGTACTGTGGAGTTTTTGCCTCCACCATTGGATGCTACTGCAGAGCAACCTCCTCTCTTTGATGGAACTACCAGGTTTCACACTTTCTTTTTCTGGCTGTTCTATAGAATAGTCTTTTTCTCTTGTTTGCTTGTGTTTATTGCCCACTTGTAAAATTGATCTTCTTTTTTTTTTCGTCCTTTTCAAGGTTGTATACTTCTTATTCTTGCCCTTTTGCACAGCGAGTTTGGATCACCAGAAATTATAAGGTTGTTTGAATTCTTCTTTCTTGTTTTTCACCTCTGATTTGTAAAGCTTTAGTGCATGAAATTGTTGATTAGTTTTCCTTTCCCCACTTTTTCATGTGAATTTTCTTGAGTTGCAGGGGTTGCAAGACAAGATTAAATTGGTTCCTTTGAACCTTCAGAATAGGCCTGCTTGGTACAAGGAAATAGTTTACCCTGAAAACAAGGTGAGACGTGAAGATATCAAGATATTATGCGTTTTCAACAATGAATAAGTTAAAAAAAAAAAAAAAAAGGTTGAAAGTCTGTTATGAATTTGGTAGAGCTATTTGATATTTTTTAGGATTGCAAATCCAAGCTCCTTGCAGAATTTTGTCAATAAAAGAATTGTATGAGAATCAAATTGCTTTATGGAAAATGTTAATCCAAGCTACTTTGTCAACTTGTTGGAATATTTTGATGCTTGGACTTATTAGACTTTTTGTTCTGAGTGGGTAGCTTCATTCTAGTTTATGAAATTGCATTTTTTTTCCTGGTATATATTGAGTTATGGCTATTGGCTAAAGATATCTTTTTAATAATAAATTAGTGATAGATTTCCTGTCACTCCTTTTGGAGTTTTTTGCTCAAACTGGGGTGACTATTGAAAGTTTGAACTTTTTGTACCCTTTTCCTTTGTTATTTATTATGTTGATTAATTTCATTTTCAGGTGCCGTCTTTGGAACATAATGGCAAAATCATTGGGGAGTCTCTTGATCTGATTAAATATGTTGATAGCAACTTTGAAGGACCTTCTCTTTTACCTGATGTAAGATCTGTGAATTTGTTTAGTGCTTTCAATGGAGGCTTCTATCTTTACCTATATCAACTAAAGTAATCTTCTGAAAATGTTTTAGGATCCTGACAAAAAAAAGTTCTTTGAGGAGTTGTTATCATACGTGGACAAATTTGTAAGGACAATGTTTGCTTCATTTAAAGGAGACCCAACAAAAGAAGCTGGTTAGTCTGAAAAATGCTACTATTTTACTCACTGTATCTTGGATTTGTATATAATATGATATGGACTAACTAAAATTAAGGACTCGCATCAGATGCTGCTTTTGATTACTTGGAAAATGCTCTTCAAAAATTTGATGATGGCCCATTCCTCCTTGGCCAGTTTAGTCTGGTAAGTTGGCTTTCCAGTGATGCTAAGTTGCTTTCTTGGTGCTGCAATTTTATTTCGTTGTTTTTTCCTAACTGAGTTGCAATGTGTTGAAAAAAATATAAAAAGAATTAATGATAATTAATCTGTCAGAAAATCTTATAGTTTGGTGCATTATTGTCATCAATAATATAGCCGTAACCATATTATTATGTATCATTTGATGAGTTTTTCTGCTTAGATATATGAAGGAAATTTTGTCATTTTCAGGGGGATATTGCCTACATTACTTTTGTTGAAAGGTTCCAGATCTTCTTATCGGAGGTGTTTAAGTATGACATCACAGCAAGCAGGCCTAGACTGGCAGCATGGATTGAGGTATATATTCTGTCTACATCCACTTGTGAAATTTACCTGCTATGCTATGGTCTAATTTTCAATGAAAGAATTGGTTCAACCATCATGTTTACTTGTTTTGGTTTAAAATTTGTTGCTTTGCTACATTATGTAGCCATCTAAACCTCATCACAGTAATGGCCTTCAGATTAACAGTCTGCTGCCGAAAATTGCTTTTGCACATTGAGAGTTGTTTTGGTTACATAATTTTCTTCTCTTATGGTTTGCTGAGCAATCTCTTACTGGTGTTTCTTTCCTCTTATCTTCCAATTACAATGGCATCAGTTTCACACGCCCAGTCCCATCTTATCTATTTCGATTCTTGAGTAATTTTTTTCGTTGTCATAAATTTGCGATGTAGGAGGTGAACAAGATCGATGCCTATAAGCAGACAAAGAAAACTGATCCAAAAGAACTAGTGGAATTCTATAAGCAGCGTTTCTCGGTACTATACCATGGACATCCTTAATACCATTTCCATCACTGGAACCAAATTGCCAGAAGTTGCTAACTACTGTAATAAAATCTTATTGCAGGCCCAGAAGTGATGAATGAAATTGCTGCCATCTTAGGATATATATTATACACGAGAATAAGCTGGGTACTCCCTGATCGGTCATCAGTGTGTTTTTTTTTTCTCCAATCTATGCTGTACTTGTGCCAATGTGAAAGACTTGTGTACTAGTATTTGCCATCTCTATAAATAAATTTTTAAGCAGTGTTGAATATGATGATTATAAAAATTCTCTGATAAGTGCGATTCTGATCCAGTACTTCATTTATTGTACTTAAAGACAACTGTCAATGTGCAAAAGCAATTTAACAACATTGCTATCATATTCAATCACATTGCAAACATGATTGAAATTTCATTTACATCATCAGCTACATATATCTACTGACAACAAACACAATAGCTGATAAAATTGTGACTTTATTTTGTAAGAGTTAAGCAAAATTTGATAAAAAAGACACGTTGTATAATGCAGGCAAGTAGCATTTAGCCTAAAACTACTACCCCTGTGATTTCATTTTCATTTAAAGATTCCACAATAACGTCATCAATATCAGCATCGATCAACAGTTGGCAGATCCCGGAGAACCGCATAATGAGCATGAAGAATCCAAGCAAGTAACAACTTAACCTTTTCATTCGATCCCCTTCATGCCCACTGCCATTACTGGAGTACCAGGGGCCAAGGGGGAACCCTTTAATGGATGTGTATCTGGTTTAAATTTTTGAGAAGCAAGGTAAGTCAAAGCTGTGACTACATCAGCAATGAGCGGCCGCATATTTGGCTCCTCTTGAACACACATTGCTGCCACTGCAAGAGCTTGGAATAAACCCCTCGGAGGATACTGACCTTGGAGCATTGGATCAGCCATTTGAGAAAATTTTTTTCGGTCTTTGAATAATGGCCTTGCCTGCAATAAAAGGTCAAGATAGAAGTGAAACTTTTGCTTGTTCTTTTGGCACTCCTCATCAATATGTGAAATAGCTAATGAAATTAACGTTTGAAAACTAATTACAACAAAGTTGGTAGCAAGCTGATGGTTTAGATATATTGTTATCTGTTTTTTACCCATGCCACTAGATTCTGTTCTCCTGCAGCGTTTGAATTGTCAATTGCTTTCCTGCCTGTTATGATTTCTAGAAGAACAACTCCAAAGCTATAAACATCTGATTTTAAAGTAAGTTGACCAGTCATTGCATACTCTGGGGCGCAGTATCCATAGGTGCCCATAACCCTTGTAGATACATGGGTGTTATCGCCAATAGGCCCAAGCTTGGCCAGGCCAAAATCAGATAGCTTAGGAAAATATCCTTCCCCAAGTAAAATGTTGGAGCATTTCAAATCTCGGTATATAACAGGGGGACTGGCTTTGTCATGTAAATACTCCAATCCTTTGGCAGCCCCAGCAGCTATTTTCATTCTTGTATTCCAGTCCAGTCTTTTCTTACCAGATGAAATGTCTGCAAATAATAAGCATAAGAAATCATCCTCCTGATAGAGCATATGGAAAGAAATAACAAAACATGAGGAGTTAATGCTATACATACCGTGTAGATGATCTTCCAAAGATCCTAAGGGCATATATTCATAAACCAGAAGCCTTTGATCTCCATCAGCACAGTACCCAGTAAGATTAACAAGGTTAGGATGGTGAAGTAGGCTTAGCATTAAAACTTCAACAAGAAATTCCCTGTTCCCCTGCAACCCATTAGGATCAAGTTGCTTTATAGCAACAACCTGCATCGAGCATAAAAACAAGATTCAGTAGCCAGTTTGCCACCTTCATGCAAAAGCAAGCCTGCATTTAACTTGTGTAAGCTGATGACTTTGTTTCAGGTTGTTCATTTGACAACTAACCTGATTTGTACTCTCCAAACGCCCTTTGTACACTCTACCAAAACCTCCTTCTCCCAGAATGCATTCTGCTCTAAAATTTTTAGTTGCTGTTGCCAATTCACGAAATGAAAAAGTCAGTGCAGCAATATGTTCACCTCCTCCTCTTTTAGATGTCTCCCCACTCGATGAGGAATCTCCTTTCAATTTGTCTAAACGAATAGAAGATGATGGAAATGCTGGCAAAAGACAATAAACTCAAACCTCATAATAAAACCGGAAATGCAAAATACAAACATCAAGGAGGCACTCAGGTGGATTTTGCCAACAAGTGCTTTAAGACTAATCCATCCTCATACCACAACTTCACTTCACAAAATCTAACATACACCCTTCTTTTATATTTCAAGTCATATGCAAAACATATAAGAGGTGTATCCAAAATCCAACTTGAACAAGGATTTTGCTGCTTTGATCCATCACTTCAATTTAACAAACAAAACGAAGGAAAAAGAAAAAAAGGATCAAGGCTTGCCAAGAATTACAAATAAAAAGGGGAGAGAATAATCAATGACAAAGTGCAATATTTTCATAGTTGTATCCTTCTGATTTTAAAGATGATTCACATATGTTTGTCAGCTAGAAATCCTAATGCTCTACATTAAAAAATAAAATTAGAGAGAATCCAAAGCTGAAAGTAAAATCCATAAACAGTCTAGCTTGCAAAACAGGACCAGTTCCATTCATTACCTAATACCTACCAATATGCATGCAAACGAATTAACTTTAAGCTACTAAAAGCAAATTAAATAAAGAAAAATAAATAAATAATTCAACAAGCAATAAAGTCCTCTAATTTTTTTTCCTTTTCCCTTCTAAATAACCAAAGTGTTGATCCAAATTCAATCTGATTATCCAAAACAAACAAAAATTACCTCACAACTGATCAACTTACATAAAATCCAGATAAAAAGAACAAGTATTTATTTTCAAAGACCAATAAAACACATAAAAAATCATATTACTTAATCAACACAACAGCTAGCATAAATGACCTTCTCTTCATGTGACAGCACGATTAACACAAAACGAAAAAAAAAAAAGGGGGTTCAGACCTTTATTCACTTTTACATTATGACAAAGCTTTACCTGAAGTAGGTTTGATTTGATCAAGTGGCATCTGCTGCATGTTTTTGTTCTTCTTAGACTTATTAGCTTTGGTATTGGATTTGCCACAACAAGGAAGCCACCCCATGATTCTTCTTCTTTGCTTCTTTCTCTCCTTTTTCACTTGAAAAATAAAATTTACTGCTATAAAAAATAATCAAAACATTAAAACAACATCAACCCTTTCTTGAATACCCTTAACAACAACCAAAAAAACATAGAAACATTGATGGAGATTTCACAAGTTTTATTACAAAGATGAAAGAGCCAAGCGCCTTTTTTTTTTTTTTTATGATGACGTTTTTGTTTTTCAGTAACGTTTACTTGTTCTTTTCAACTAGTTTATATTTATTTTTGTTCCTTTTAGAATTACCTGATGCGGCGTCGTTTAACCTAGCGTGGAAGTGGAATAAAAAAAGCTGGTCCTCTAACGTGGGCCCCTTTATTGGCCAAAAAAAGTAGGCCCCTTAAAAGGAATTCAATGTTATCTCCTTCAATAGAAAAATATGGATTTTCTAACCGTCCGATCTGATTAAATAAAAAACTGACTACTAATAAAACTAACGGATATGATTGAAATTAACACGTGAACTTTCGCCTATGAAAAAAAAAGGTTTTTAACTATACTAGTAATAGTAGTTTAAGACTATCAATATTCCCTTTCTAGGTGAAAATTTTTGCTTGGCTTTAAATTTGACAGCTGGTCAGGAAACAATTCTTTAGCCATACATATTTTTTTTACTTTGGCCAAATATCCAATTTTTTTGTTGCCGATAAATATCCATATTTGAATTTACTACGACAAAAAAGTTGAATTTTTACCGACGAATCATTGGTTTAAAAAAGAGGTTTTTTAAAGTCCAAATTTACTGAAAGATTGTTAAAGCGTAATTCTTGCGAATTTATGAAAGTTGACATAAATAAAAAAAATTTATTGTTTAATAAAAAATAAATTTTCAAAAAATATATATAGTTAATTAAGGATAAATATGTAATTAATTAATGAGAAGAATGTTTGAGCTAGATTTGTCATATTTGTTTGTCTGTTTATGTCAATTTTGTTGTATTATAAAATGTTATATGCAAGACATGTTGTATGAAATTAAGGTTGTTGTGGTAATCTTCCATCTTTAAATGTTGTAATTGTTGTTCTTTTGGTTTGGATAAAATAATGTGTGGTTCGCACTCATTATGCTAACAACGACCAATCTGTTTCTTTGGTTCCGAAAAAAAAAAAAATTAATCTTTACGTGAAAGTCACGGACATAAATTAGTTATGGTTTGGTTTTACTTTCTTCGAATGAAAATATTTAAGGCGACGTGGTCAAATGTTTTTCCCGATTCTAGAATTATTTTTTTGTTAACATCATCCAGGAAACAATACGACTAAACTAAACAATAATCAACTACCAAGTCCAGCATCCCGATAGATTTAATAATTTAAAATTTTATATTATATAAAATATTGATAATTTATATATTTATATTATATTTTATATAAAATTTATATGATATAAATTATATCAATATAAAAATATAAAATATATATTTTAAATTTATTAAATTTATATATAATTTTTATTAACATTTTAAAATTTATTATTTTTATATTATATTATTATACTATATTTTGAATTATTGAACCTAACCATGGACTCAAATTGGTAGTAAAATATTGCTATCAAGTCTAAATGTAAAACAAATGGCAAATATGCAGTGAATTTCAATGTCAAACCTATGAATTCCTTTCTCCCTAATGTCTTATAGCATAAGCAACAACGAGAAATGAGAGATAGCGGTCAAATTCCGTGACTTCCAACGACCAAACACTTTGAAATCTTCTTTTTCATTTTTTTTTTCGTGAAGAAATACTTTGCTGTCTTAATAGCAATCTTTAAATTTTGGATTACAAACCATTTTCGTCTTCAAAATTTACAAAACAATTATTTTTTTTTATTACTTTTGTAATTGGATTCGATTTGCCGGCCAACTTTTTCTTTCCTTGCTCTTGCTTTCTTTCCTACAGAACGGATAAGTAACAAAGACCCAAAGAAGGCTGATGTTGTTTTGAGACCTCTAGAAAACTGAAACAAGACAGAGCTTATATATCACATATTAGATGCGCGAAGGTTTTACTTGTTATATGATGGGGGAAAAAATAATTAAAAAAAAAAAGAAAAAAATATAATAAGCTTAAGGCAGACAGCATTAGAAGAAGATGAGGATTCATAATGTCCCCCTAATAATTTGAATTATCCACAGAAAACTGCCTTCATCAAGCAGCCTTTATAACAGAAAGTCATATATTGTGAGCTTCACAGTCACTTCAGGCCTAAGGGCTTTGGTTCTGATGCCCTCTGAGTCCTGAGAGCCTTTATGACTTTATCACAAATATCAAGTTGGAAACTATACCTTCTTCGGTTGGTAGCAGGTGAGTTAGAATCTGGATCAGAGGCTACCGGATTTGTGTTCCTAAGTGGCATCTCGGGGTTATGTTTACCTTGATACGTTGTAATGAAAGGTCTTGGAACATCTGATGCTCTTTCCACATGCTTGCGTACATTGCATTTTAGACTAGTGCATCTGTAGTAACTTCTACAAGGCAGATTACCACAAGCTGTCAGAAAACAAGGGCATGATTAGCAATTATGAGGCACAAATCTAAATTTTGCATCTGTTCAGCCAGAAAAGAGAGCAAAATTGTTCTGTGTTACAATCTTAGAAAGACTTGAGTCACTAACCTTCACAACAGCAATTGCGGAGAAGTACAGTCACAGCATGGCGAGTACAATCATCATTTTCTACAAGCAGAATCGTAACTGTTTTTACATGCAGAAATCTCTGCCAACAAAACATTGCATTTGAGGCTGTTGCAGTGGCATTTGCAGCACAGCAGGGGCCTGAACAGCCCTAACATAACTATCTTTTACATTTTGCATAATCTCCTTAACTTTCACATCATCTCCTTCCAGCGTCACATGTTCCTCAGCCACAACTTCATTTCTAGTTCTCTTGTTAGCATCATATAGCCGATAACTTAGTTCTTGTAACCCTTTTTCAGGGTTCATCTAGACACTCCCCTCTGAATCAGATTAGAAAAGACTGATAACAGTAAGGACAGTTCAACATTAGAACAGTAAAAATCCTCCTTCAATTCGCAAAATAAATAGTACATAGCTTCATCTTCGAGAAGCCAAACCTCTGCAAATATAGACAGATCAACCTAAAACACGAGCAAATCACTAAGGAGATCCATAACTAAAACATTAAACAAATCACCACTAAAAAAATATAACTCCTTTTAAGCTTCAGTGAAGCTGCTTTCACCCTGGAGAAGAAACAAAGCATCCTGTCAAAATAATCCACTAAAACCTAACCATTAAATTCAATCGAGTAAGTAAAGCAACCGGATATTTTCCTCATTTTAAGGAACAAATTCATCGCTCTACAAAACAAGCTTAATTTTATACACACACATGCAACCGCAAGTTAATTTCAAATTATCAAAATTAAATAAAATTTAATGACTTCTAGGCCAAAACCCTAGCAGCAATTGACTGCCTAAGCAACAGAGAGCATAGGAAGAGAGACATCGCCCACCTTTGTTTAGGAGTCGGGAGAGCGCAGAAGATATTAGGATGAGTCCAGGGATACTGACCTGGATATTATGGAAGCGTGGAACGTTCCAGAAGTCCCACGTCGGATGTGGATATTTCCACGTAGCTAAAACTATGGGGCCGATAGGCTTGCCGAGCTGGACAAAATCAAAAGCCGGTAGCTGGAGTCTCTCCGTTCGACACTTGGCATGTCAAAAGGTGGGAATATCGAGCCGGCGGTTACGTCGTTTCCACGGACGTCAAAGGAGTCTATGCTAAGGATCCGTTGGTTTATTATATTGTTAAAAAAGGCGATTGTGACGGCGTTAAGTAGTTACGATAAATGACTAGAAAAACCTTAACTTGGCTTGCATAAAATCTAGGTAAGTGCTTGATACGGTGTTATTCGGAATTAAGAGTCTCTCAGGCTTCGTAAGTATGAGAACAAAAAACTTCTCTTTGCTGGAATGACAAGAATTCCTTTTGTTTTCTTTTTCATAAATTTTAATTATATTAAAAATAAGTTCATGCAATGATACGAGTCTAGTTTTTAATTGATGTAAATAAAAATATTATCTCTTTAATTATCACATTTTATATGGATTGTAAAGCATTTAATTTTAATATTAATCACGACAATAAAAAACAAATTAAGATGTATTAGATACCTAAATATTGACATTAACATTGTTGTGTTATTAAATAGGGGTAAATAAAAAAGCAAACGAATATAATATTTTATAAACAATTTGTGAGCAAATTCATTATTTTTTTTAGCTTATATTTATTTTTTTATGAGCAATTTCGTAAATAAATTTAATTTTCATTTATTTATATTCATTTTTTAAAATTACTAAAGAATCACAATTTTAAATTTATATTCAATTCATTTACATCTAAAATGTAAACGAATAAAATATTTAACCAATAATTCATAAATAAACCTTATTTATATTTATCTATTAAATTTAATAAACGATCACAAATAATATTTTAAAATTAATTAGATTATGAATATAGTAAAATTTACTTATATTTGATTGGTTTGCACTCTATTACCAAACAAGTTTTGGTGAAAAAAAAATTCTTACCTTTTATCACTATGTATATATGAAGTTACAACAACAAGATTAAGCTCTTCTTAAGAAAAAATTATTTAATACACTATATGTGTAATTTCTTTTTTACTCCACAATCAAATTAACAAAATGACACATCATTTTTTATTTTTTAAAATATCTCCTATGGGATATGTGTCCCACTTTTTTTTACCCCTATTTTGTACCCAAAAGAAAAAGGAAAATTGAAGTACCATGAGGACAGATTTTATGAAGCCACAGCCACCCTGGCTTGGGTAAAAAATTATAGATGTTGGATTTGATCTCTCATGTTTGTTTGAGAGCAATTTTCTCTTCTTATATATATGGGACAATCTATCTTGGACAGCTGAAACTCTCGCAGTCAAGAGCTGGTTATGCGTCCCAGTTTCATTTATGCAGCTGTGATAACTTACTGCCTGGCTATACTAGAGCCAACCAGCTCGGCCAGCTGCCAGGATGTCAAATTGGCAATCAGAGATTAAATTATCATGCAAATACAGCAATAAATAAACTAATAAAAAATCTGTGCAGTGACACGCCTGAACAATTTTGCTAGATTTCAGCTTCCTAATCATAAGATATCATGAGGTAAGGATTAACCAATTGAAGTCACATTTTGATAACAACTATACTTTGCAGCAAGAAGATACTAACTATAATAATAATAGTGGTACCCAGTGATTTTGCCAATGTTTGAAATATTATTTCTCAAAGCTGTTCTTGAATATCTAATTTGTCACAAAACCCTCCCTTTGTATCTCTCTCAAATAAAGATACAGAGGAATCTCCTTGTAAACAAAAATTTACTATAGCTCATCTAGGCAAAAGTTTTTGTAATCAGCCATTTTATTCCCAAAAACCGACAAGTTATTTTCTCTTGTCAATGCAAAATTGATAAGCATGCAAAGAATACTAGACTCACCAATAAAACTACAGTAGTCAGTAATACTTTATGCTGCAACCAACTGCCTTTCATCGAAATCATCAAGATTAAGAGCCTCCAGCAACTTTGGCCATGATTCAGGAATACCTCCTGGCAAATCAAATTCCATCAACTTTCCTTGATTGCAGTAGTAGTCCTCCAGAGGCTGACTCTGTGAGCACAATTGAATACCACCACATGACGATTAGTGGAAGATGAAAGCAAATTAGCAGTAAAGAGAATCTAAAAATGAAAATTTTCATTATACACACACACACCCCCCATATGAGCATATAGATTCCCACGGTATCCCCAAAACAAAGGTTAATTTCAACTCCTTCACAAAGTGAATAAAATAAAGAGCTGATGAAAATTTACCATAACTATGAAGGCATGTTATATATATATATATATATATATAAAGAAAGCAAATTTCCAGGATTGTCAGAGAACAAGAATCTCATTCTAAGTTCTAAATATAATATTTGGTATATACATTTCAAGAAATTTCTTTCAAATTAGATAAACATTTACATGAAGCAAGGCCAAAGAATGAAGCTATACCTTTTCATTGTATATACGGAGTCTCTCTTTCACCACTTCTTCGGTATCATCTGATCTAGCTACAAGCTTTGACATACAACTTGAGGGAGGAAAAAGGGGTGCCATACTAATTCCAGGGCTCCCGTTCTGACCCTTCACATTAATCAAAGCCACATTGAAATTTTTCCCACACTGACTGCAAATTCTTCTACCAAGACATTTCTCAATCAAGACACTTTCCGGAAGCCTTAGATTTACCACCAAATCAATGTCCGTTACTCCTTCCAACATTTCCTAAAAAAGTAAAAATTAAAGCCAGCTGAGATTCGTGCTCATAAATCGAAATTGGGGAAAAAAATTACTCGAATTTAAATTCTCACCGCTTGATTTATAGTTCGAGGAAAGCCATCTAGAATAAATCCTGATTCGCCTTTAGCTTCCCCAGCTTCAAGCCTTTTTAATAATAAACTTATTCTAATTTCATCCGAAACCAATTTTCCATGGTTCACAATTTCCGCTAGCTTTAGCCAAGCAATAAATTAATAACTTCACTTCAGAAAACAAAAATAAAAAAACCGTAAAAGTTACTAGAAATTAATTTTGTAAATTCGTAACGGTGATAGAAGATAACGGGAAAACGGATTTTAAACAGATCTAAAAAAGTTGATGAGGCGAAAAGGAACGAACTTGCTTAGAGAGGGTTCCAGAGGAGGCGAGTTCTTCACGGACGAGATCACCGGTAGCGATGTGAGGGACGCAGAGAGATTCGAGAGGCGGCTGGCGTAGGTTCCTTTACCGACTCCTGGAGATCCGATAAACACCCATTGCACGTTCCTCTGGCTCGGATCTCGGCGCGTGATCTTGTAATTTCCAAAGGGGGAGGTCACGTGTGGACTGGATTCAGCGGCGGCAGTAGTAGAAGAATATAAGCATCTCCTTATGTGAGAGATAGCCGAGCGTTTCAAGAAGCAAGTGATGGCCGCCATCGAATGGTATAGAGAGAGTTCACTGTTTGTTCGGCCTGGAAACCCTAATTTTACATTTTCGAGTATGTTTCCTATTTTTGACTTTGGACTGAATAAAAAAACTTATATTTAAAAAAAGTTTGCACTTTTTGCTGACGTGAGCCGGTTAATGGTAATCATCATGTACGCTTGTTTTCAGTATAATCGCTAATCTCTGCCACGTGTCACTACTTGCTCCAATAAAACAACCAACGGTTGCAGTTTAGATTCACAGGCAATGGCGATTTCTCTCTCGACAAGTCTCTTGCCTAACACTTTCCAATCCACTGGGAACCAAAATCACTGTTTGACACGTGTATTTCTTAACCATCCATTTAATTTCAGTCTCAGACACTGTAAAAACAAGAACAAAATCTCGGCACGATGGAACCCACCTGTGGTCTCCGCTGTCTCTGCTTCTGCTGGGAAGTATTAATTTTTTCTTTCGTTTTCTATAAATCTTCATTTTGTTGTAGCAAAATTTGTGTTCCAATTTGAAGCTATCAATTATTTGAGCTTGAAAATGGTTTGTTTTTGTTAACAGGAAACCAATCTTCTGGAGTGAGTGAAGATGCTGTGGATTTATTAGATACGGTCAAAGTGTTTGATTTGAATGGAAATGGAATTTCAATTTCTGATTTGTGGAAGGATCAGAAAGCTTTTGTAGCATTTGCTCGCCATTTCGGGTGATTACTTGCATATTCGTGTAGTAATTGACCTAAGGTTCCTAATATTTCTCAGTTTTTCATTGCTTTTAGATGTCTTTTGCCGCAAACGGGCTGATTATCTTGCCTCCAAGAAGCTAAAATATTGCATGCTTCTATATGAGAGTGATATTTTCTTCTTCTTCTTCTTTTTTTGGATCTCTTTACTTATTGCATACTACTAGAGTCGGCAAAGCTAACCTGAACTTGAAAACCCATCCGACTCTGACTGATAGTATGCAATAAGAAGTTGTTGGACCCTCCCCTGATAGTATGCGATCTGTGTTAACATAGTCCAGATTATGGCAGGATGTGATGGATAAATCAGGTGTGGCACTTGTTTTAATTGGACCTGGGAGCGTTGAACAGGCAAATGCACAACCCCATGTGGGTTGGTTAATGCATGAAAGCATTACATTTGAAGCTTGTTCTAATTTGATGGCCTATGCATTCATTTGATCATTTCCTTGCTGTGGTGGAAGAAATGAGTAGATAGGTTTGCTTAAGACTAATGCTTGAAACTATGAACTTGGCTGGATAGTTGCTATGACTTATGACCAAGGCTATTATCAAATGCAGGCAAAAACATCTGTAGAGGAAACTAAATTCAAAGGAGGTACGAAATTCCTGTCTTGCATCTAGTTTGCTGTCTTCTTATTGCATATTGAAAAGAAAGTGATGCTGCTATCTTGTTGGTTCAGATGTTTATGCAGATCCAAGCCACTCATCATACGAGGCATTAAGATTTGTTTCTGGGGTTTCAACTTTCAACCATATTTACTCCCAAAGTATGTAAAAAATAAAGCATAGTACAATTCATGGCTTTTGCTTTTTGGCAATGATACGAATGCCTCATAGATTGGATGTTTATGAAAATGGATTTCTGTGATTGTAGCAACCTTTCTCATTTAGTTGTTTGCTTGACATGCCAGGCAGGTCTTAAGTTAATACAGTTGTACATGGAAGGCTACCGACGAGACTCGAAGCTTTCGTTTGAGGATACTGTGAAGAGAGGGGGCTGGTATGTCAAACTATTTTATTACAATTACCCTGTTTATGAATCACCTCTGAGGTTCGCAAGCTAGTCTGGCATAAAGCGGATACATTCTTCAAAAATGGCTACCTTTGGGATGAAGTTAAAATTTTTACTTGAATATTTAACTCTTCTCTGTATCAGCATACTTTACTATAAACAACAGGGTATATTAACTTGTACATATTGTTTTCTCTGCAGGCAGCAAGGTGGCTGGCAAAAGGAACATTTCATGCATACATAAGGTACGTTGCCAAGATGACAAAAATCCGAATGCCACAAGATTGACTTGGCATCATGACAATGGGAATTTTACCAACTACTTCATCTGATATCGTTTTATGTTTAATAATTTGTCATCGATTCACAGCCTTTTTTCCTTGACAGGACAAAGAAGCAGGGGATGATCCGGAGATTGAAGACATTTTGAAAGCCTGTTGCTCGTGAGAAATAGGACATCCCCTTCTATAAATTTGTAATCGTCTGTAAACATCTCACTTTCTTCTCCTGAAATCTCGTGTTTAGAGTCTGTTATAGCGTGAATATGGAAATTCAAGTTTTCGGCAAATTCCTTCTTTTTTTTTTTTTCACATTTTTTAGTTTTTCTTTTTAATGTGTGAAATAGCAACATTTTCAGTTAGTGCATTCAAACACCGAGATACGACGCCGTTTGGTAAACACTCCATCTCAACTTTACTCGACCATATATATGCTTAACAGTTTAAGCAGATGCCCTAACTCTTAGATTTCGTCATTTCCCAAATTCCCGCCTTTTACTTGATATATTCCCTCCACAATCCATCTCCATGTCGGACAAGAAAAAGCGCCGCCGAGCCGACTCTGACTCCGATTCAGAATCCCAGCCTTTCAAGCACCTTCTCAAATCCGATGACCACATCCTCCGAATACTTAAATCTGTCGCCTCTTCCTCTTCCTCCACTTCAAAATCCTTAACACTAGCCGACCTATCCCTTTCATCCACGTGTCGGGAAGTATCCGACCTCTCCCTCTCTTCTGTCCAATCCGCCATCGAAACCCTCGTTCTCCAGCTCACCCACCAAATCCTCTCCGGCCAAGGCTTCTCCTTCACCGTCCCTTCCCGTTCCGCCTCCAACCAACTCTACGTCCCCGAACTCGACCGCATCGTCTTAAAAGACAAATCCACCGTCCGCCCCTTTTCCCACATCTCCTCCGTACGCAAAACCACTATAACGGCCAAAATCCTCTCCTTAATCCACCAACTCTGTCTCAAAAACATCCACGTCACCAAGCGTGACCTTTTTTACACCGACGTTAAACTCTTCCAAGACCAGATTCAATCTGACGCTGTTCTAGACGACGTTTCCTGTATGCTCGGCTGCACTCGATCCAGCCTCAACGTAATCGCCGCGGAAAAAGGAGTCGTCGTTGGAAGACTTATTTTTAGTGACAACGGAGACATGATCGATTGTACTAAAATGGGAATGGGAGGAAAAGCAATCCCTCCAAACATCGATCGAGTTGGGGATATGCAAAGCGATGCATTGTTCATTCTGTTGGTAGAAAAAGATGCAGCTTATATGAGGTTAGCTGAAGATAGGTTTTATAATCGGTTTCCTTGTATAATTGTGACTGCGAAAGGGCAGCCGGATGTGGCAACGAGGTTGTTTTTGAGGAAAATGAAGACGGAGTTGAAGCTTCCGGTGTTGGCATTGGTCGATAGTGATCCTTACGGGTTAAAAATTTTGTCTGTTTATGGGTGTGGATCAAAGAACATGTCGTATGACAGTGCGAATTTGACTACCCCAGATATCAAGTGGTTGGGGATTAGGCCGAGTGATTTGGATAAGTATAAGATACCGGAGCAATGTAGGTTGCCAATGACAGAACAGGATATCAAGACTGGGAAGGATTTGCTGGAGGAGGATTTCGTGAAGAAGAACCCTGGGTGGGTTGAGGAGTTGAATTTGATGGTGAAGACTAAGCAGAAGGCGGAGATTCAGGCATTGAGTTCGTTTGGGTTTCAATACTTGTCTGACGTTTATTTGCCATTGAAGTTGCAGCAGCAGGACTGGCTGTGAGCAGGACTGGTAAGAATGTGGAGTCTTTTTATGTTTTTGTATGAGAACTGGCAAATTGTTCAATGTTTATTTCCTTAATGATAGCAATCTTTCGGATTTCATCTGTTGAGTTACTTTCTATTATTGGGAGTGATTGAGTGGTTTGGATTAGTAGTTTTCACAATCTTTATGATGCAGGAAATTTGAAAAAAAAAAATTACAATTTGTAAGAAATCATATGCATTTGAAAGCCTTGATCACTTTAATTTTTAGGATTAGGATTTTAGGCCTTTCAACTGCAGCAAGTTTTAGCGTCTTTGGTACAACTTGTTTTGTTTCTCAGCTATGATTCTCAAGAACAAAATTCTAAACTGGTAGAAAATGCTAAGTAAGAACCTGTATAGGTTGTAACAGTTATGAGGAACAAAATATAAAACTGAGTTGATGCATGAGAAATAAAGTAGTCTGTAGAAACAAATGAAATAACCTCTTTTAATTTGATCACAAGAGTTTAATGTGGTCAATGGTCCTACATTTCTATACAGTTGACCTGAACTTTAATTGCAATGCTTACTTATTTCCTTCTATATCTATTTAAAAATGATTATAAAATATTTCAAAAATTATATAAAAAAAATAATGCACAAAATTGAGGTTGTTACATAATCAGAACCTTCTAATAACATCTGCCCTTCTCTGGATCCAATGATTCAATGATTTCCTTGTAACCTTTAACCGGCGCAGAATCACAGGTCTCCTGGTAGAAGATAAGGGCTCCGAGGATAAACTGTTATTTCCAACTGTTTCTAATAGAGCTGGATTTGCATCAATAGGAGTCTGCAACTCTACCCCTCTAACTTTTTTGACTTGAGGTTCAACCAATAGTACCTCAAGCCCCAATTCATCCCTCAGAAGTTTCATCACTGCATGTTGGACCTCAGATTTTGCCTTGGCTGCATCCTTGTGCCCTTCACTTGCTCCTAAGATTATGAACATATCATCTTTTACAGAATGTCCTGCAATAAAATTTTAGTGGAAACATCATAATATAACTTTTAAGCACGTCAACTTATGTACCAATTTATCACACAGTTTAGATGTCAGATGCATCCATATGAATAGTGTTTTCTGGCCTGATAGAAAAGTTACACAAAATATTCCAAGTATTGATCTAAGCAAGTTAATGAAGATGTTTTGTTTACCTAGGATGTAGTTCTCTTTGATCATTCGCAAAACAGCAAGAACAACTATCCGAGCTTCAACCTATCAGTAGGCATTACACAAACTCTTATAAGAGATAGGTCCCAGGAGAGTACAAAGATGATACTTTCTTTCAAAAGAGCAGTCAGATAATAACATGAGATAAATCAGACCATAGTTTGAATCAAGCAAGCAATTTATAATTAAAACATCCACATCAACGATGCTTCTTCAATTTGCATTAACAGTGATTGACCAAACCTTTGTAAGCCCGCGAAGGTCAATTGCTGGGCTTTCTGATGTACTCATCTGTAGGTGCACTGCAATCTTTTCAAGAAGTAGACTGTGAGGTCGCTCCAAGTCAGTTCTTTTGCAGGAACTTAACCCTTCTTGTTTCTGGTTGTTTTCTTTTATTACTCCTTCGCACCATTCTTCAATGAGTTCCTTGAGATAAGTATCATTAGATTTGTACCTGCAATGGTTACCTTCTTAAAGACTGAATCTAAAGTTATATTGGCATTTAATGATGAATAGTAGTGCTATAGCTTCATCAGAGAAAAAGGTAAGACGCCCAATAAAAAAACTCTTTATTTATTTGATTGAATTAAGAAAAGAATTGAATCAAGTATCTTATTTTGGGCTTCAAACTCCCAATGTCATATCAAAATCTCCGAATGACAACTCAAGGTCCGAAAAAGGACTCCGCAACAGAATGATACTGTTGTCTATGAAGCATAAAAGACTTTTCGAGGCAACTTGCAATTTACCACCTATACATACAGAAAGGGAGTTTGCATCAAATTCTAACATACCCTGCTTTCCGCATATCCTGATATATAGCTAGGCACTGCTGTACTTCATGCAAGGAACCGTATCTGCTACGGGCTCTTAAAAGTGTATCGTACGTTACCTGTAAAAACAAAGTTCAAAGTTTATTAGCTGAATATACCTGGACTGTTTCAATGTTATTTAATTTGTAAGATTGAAGAACAGAAAGGCATCATTTAAGATCACTTACCAAATTAGGTTGTACACGATATCTCTTCATTTCTTCAAATAATGAAAAAGCTAACTTCAGATTTTTGCTTGCCACACAAACCTATTAATCAAAATAGCATAACATGTTAACATCCAGCAATCAATTTGAGATTATGTAACAGAAAAAACCATTCACAGTGTCTAGGGCAGCACTTATAGAACAACCAAGTTTATTACAAAAGCTTTCAACCTTGATTGCTGTTGTGTATGCAACAACATCAGGATTAATTCCAGTCACATGCATAGTTTTCAAGATCTGCACTGGAAAGAAAAAATGGTTGTCAGATTAAGTAAGTTGTTGCATAGAACTTCTGCCAACAGACAGTACTGTATCGGAGGCCAACCTTAGGAATAAAAGAATAAGGAAAATACAGCTACATGGAGATGGAGGCTGATGTATTTCAGGTATAGTTATTGCCAACATAGTGATTATCAGGTAAAATTTAAGTCATTTGAGAACATAATGCAATTTAAGCAAAAGCTATTATTAACCAATACTCACGTAATTGTGGCCTGGCAAACTACAATTCTGTAAGTGTTCTCTTTTTTATTTGTTAGGAAACTTGTAAACATCTCACAACCAGCATTTGCTTCCAAGGTTCTTTTATTTATTAGGGTGAGATAATTTAATCTTTTAGGCCTGGCACTTTCATGGACTTTTAAAACTGTATGACCACAGCATTAGTCCGTACTTCAAAGTGGGTATTAAATAAAAGGGAAACAAAGGCAAGCAACATAATGGTTAATGCTTTATCCTGACTAAAAATGTGCCACACCAACATGTCAATAAACATGTGATAACAAATTTTTTTCTTGATTCTGAAAAGATAGCACCTGAAGCAATAATGTAATAATGTTTGAGAAGCGACATAAAATGGAAGGGCAAAATAAGATAAATCTTTTATGGAAGGATATCTAACCTGTATGGCACCTTCTACATTGCCTGAACCTCCACATTTATCGATCAAAATTGACCAGCTTACATGATTAGGCGAAAGGCCAAGAGACTTCATCTCATCCATTAAAGCTTTTGCACGGTAGTAGTCAGTACCACAGGCCTTCATTAAAACATTGTATGTTGCCGTAGTAGGTTTGAAAGAAAACTTCTTCGCAAAACTTAGATGATGAGAATTAGTTATGTAGTTCAGTGCAGTTCTGTTGTTTAGTTGCTTTGTAGTTGACATACCCTCTTGAACTCCAGTCCAGCAGTGGAAAAGGCGAAAAGCCCTGTCATACTGGCTAGCCTCGACACAAGCATGTAGAAGAATATTGCAACATTGTGAATTAGGTTCACATCCAGTGAGAATCATCTCTTTAAATAATTGAAATGCCTTCTCAACTAGGCCTACATTGGCACATGCACTGATCAATGATGACCATGTAACTGTATTAGGGGTAACTCCAGCTGATAGCATATCTTCTTTAACTTTCAGTGCCATTTGCCATAACCTTGCATCTGCAAAGACCTAAATTTTTGTGCATGCATTATTAAGAGAATAATATATCATAAAAGGTTCATTGAGCAGGTTTCTAGGAATTGAAATTGTCTTTCACACAGTGCAGCAAGAAATACCTTTATGATTGTGCAGTATGTAAAGACATCCAACTTCAACACCCCTGTTGACTCCAGACGCTTTACTTCATTGTAAATATCTTGGGCCAAATCAACTCTGTGAGCAAGACAGCACGCCTTTAGGAGGATGTTATAAGATGCCATATCTGCTGTGATACCAAGATTCTGAGCAAAGAAACACATTTTAATACATTATCTTGCTAATATGCATGCAGCATAAAGCTTCATGTGCTGTAGTTCAATGGAATGTTTCAATAGGGAAAGTTTATCTCCATCACATGCTGACACTTTTTTTTGGCCTTCCGCAAGCTTGACACTAGATCATCAGAAATATAACACTTTATACATCCATACTTTCCATTAAAAATTACATATTGTATCTTCTAGTGTTGAACAAACTGGACCAGAACGATAGGATCAGTTGACAGGAAACCAGTGGCCTGTCCGGTCCAATGAGGTATAATAAACTAGCATTTTGTTGAACTGGTTTAAATGCCGATTCAGTGCTTGAAACAGTTTGACTTGTCTGGTCCAAAGAGGTATAATGAACCAGCATTTTGTCAAACCAGTTTGGTACTTGAAAGTTTTTATGCTAATTTATTATTTAATTGTTTTAAAAACTTTTTGTAAGTTATGAGATTTGAAACCAATTAGCCTAGTACATGTTTTTGTTAAATATTGACCATACTTGATACTTATTCAATACCAATATCAAGCATTTAATGCTAAAATCCTCCCCTAATTGGAACGGGTGGTTGAACCTGGAACTGGAGCCTACACCGGTTCAACCTCCTGTCCAGTTTTTTAAGCATTCGTATCTTCTTGAAACAAAAGAATGAGAAGCATTAAAGTTAGAAATCTTGAATGGCCCTCTGAGAGAAGAGAAGGCAATTACTGAAAAATTAGAAATCTCGAAAAACCCTCTGTGAGTTTACTTAGAATGCTTAGGACTGTACATGGAAAAAGAAAATTAAATAAAACAAAATGAAAAATAGAAAGATTCTTCAATGATATTAAGTACCATAGAAGAAAAGAGAAGGAGATGGCATACTTGCATGTCCTTGTACACATCTAATGTGTATCCCAGATCATGAGAATTGACATTCATGAGACTGTTGAATACATATATATTTGGAGTGACCCTTTGATTGACTAAGTCCTGCAGCAAAATTCAAGCAAAAGGTAAGCCCAAAGAATCAAAATTCAGAAAAGCAACAAAGCGAGGGATAATTTTGCAAGTACAGGCATTCAAATCTGAAGACATGATGATCACATACTGCCAAGCATATCTAATTAAGCCAGTTACTATCAAATTAGCAGCAATATGGGTGTGGCATGTGGATGATGGTAAGAATCTTTGTGTTGACCTTAAGGTAGAAAGCACAACCAAATAAAATATTTACAAGAAAATTTCATAGAATTTCAGAAGGCAGGTGTGCCAATACCTCGTAAATGTTTCTAGATATCATGTAGCCACCACAGAGACCACAAACATCAATTATTGCACGGTATACATACATATTAGGACCATCCAAGTTCTTCTTGGATGCTTCATATGCTGTCAGTGCAGATGCCAAATCCCTCTTCTTTCCAAATTCACTTATAATGCTACAGAATAATATATGGGCATGTGGCAGCAGGCACGCATACCTTTTCAATGCAAAAATTCCAAGAATTAGCACTGGCCAATCCGAAAAACAGAAGAACTGTTAAGCTTTGAAAGTATTGAAGCTACACTCAAGAAATAACTTTACCAACTTTGATGATAAAATTGAGACCCACAGGCAACAAATAAAAGATAGCAAGAACTCTTACCTTATGGCCAAATTTGGGTTTCTTTTATCAACACAGACTTTAACAATGCAAGATGGATTCACTAGTTCCTTGATTGTGAATTGAAAACCTGAACCAAAAAAAAATCTGTCAAGCAATGCATGTAATCTCTTAAAAAACAAGAGTAATTATACATAACATCTAGTAAACTCAACTTGTGGTTACCTCTTAGGGCTTCCAACAAGTCAACAGCTTCTTCCACTTCACCAGACCCTAAAATCCTTTGAAACTCCCTTTTCAACGAATCCAAACCAAACCCATTAACCAATTTCAGAGGAGCAACCCCAAGCTTCTCAACTTTCTTCAACACCTCAACAACACATTTAACTTTCCCTTCTTGAATACTCAAAGCAGCCCCCTTGGAAACAAACTCAAGGCTCAACATTGAAGCAAAACGCGAAGGATTAGCTCCCGAAGCAACAACCATCTCCACTATCATTGCAAAGTCCTCGAGACGGCCATCTTCCGCCAGCTTTGAAGCGAGCTCGGCGTAGTACTTGAGTGGGGAGTTGTGACGTGAAGTGGGGTCCCATCGGATGGAGGATGATAAGAGAGGGTAAGGGTGTTGATGAGAATGGACGGTGAGGATTGAAGAAGACAAGAGTTGTTCTTTTTTGGAAGCAGAAAGCTTGTGGAGAGAGGAATTGGGTTTCTTGGGTCTTGAAGAGTAGTGGTGGTGGTAGAGATTTGGAGGGGTAGATATGTAGGAACTGCCAAGGATGATGACAAAGTCTTTCATTCTTGGCTATGGAAGTGAGGTCTTGCTTATGCTGGGTTCAAGGTGCTGTTCTTCTATGGGTTTTTTTGGGTAAGAATTGTTTTTTTTTTTGGATTGAATTTGAAAGGCAGGTATTTTCTGTTGTTAGTGAACGTTAGTGAGCCAATTTTTTTCCTGCTGGAGGAAGAAGCAAACTTCATAAATGTAAATGACTTGGCCCAAAAAGAATACCAAATAAATGATAATAAGGTAGAATGGACCAAAAGAGGATGGTGTTAGGGGTAATAAAAAGTTGGTTTGAATTGGTTGGATTAATTGAAATTGAATAATTGGGTTAATTTGATTTGATTTATTTAATTTTAATTATAATAGATTTTTTAAATTGATTAATTTGGCCTATTTTTTATTTTTAAAATTGATAATCAAATTGATTAAAATAAAGTGAAATTAGTTGATTTGATTTGATCTATTCAATATTTATTATAATCATTTTTTTAAATTAATTAATTCAATCAATTTTTTATTTTTAAATTAAAAATTGAATCAATCAAATTAATTAATTTTTTAATAAATATAGATAAAATTTTTAAACTAAATATTTTTATTTTTTGTAAAATATTTTATTAAAATTTTTAGTGATTTAATTTAAATAATACTTAAATTTAAATATTATTAGATTAAATTTATAATTAAATAATTATTTATAATAAAAAAGTAATTATTTAAAGCAATTTTAATAGGTTCGGTTCGCATCGATTCGATTACTCGGTGAGAAATTGCTCATCCTACATGATGCCGTCGATATAAGGATTAAGATCTTATCTACTCTTCTATGGGCCGTGGCCTGTGTGTCAACTGGCACGCCTTAAGTCGGCCTATCTCTCAAATGCCTCATAAAATCGAAAGCCCGGGCACCGTCTATTACTTGGGCTTTGGTAATTGAGGATGACTTGTGTTTTGGGAATTAAATTTTTATTAAAAGAAATACTAAAATCTAATTTCTGACTAATTTAATTATTAAAAAATTACAGCAAAGAAAAGGGTACTATCATTAAAAAAAAAAAAGCTTACACGATGAGATGGCATCTGAACTTTTCTATGCATCCAATTTTTCTCTCCAAGTTTTTTCCTTCAAAATTCATTTCTAATTAAAATTTTTAATTATTTTAATTTTAAGTATATATATATGTCTAATAAATTTTATCACTTATTAAAACTTATCATATATAAAAATTGAACAAATTTTATAATTTATTAAAATTTTATATCCAATTTTTATTTTTTAAAATTACATTTAGAGTTTTCAATAAACCCATTTAATCAATATCATTCTAATCTAATAAAAATATTTATTTAATTTTGTGAGATTCTAACAAAACTTATTAATTTTGAAAAAAAAAACTAAATTCTAAAAAAATTGTCACAACATTTTTAAAAAATACATAATTTATTTTAAATAATTATAAGTTTGTTTATAAATAAATAGATAAAAATTATAATTTTAATAGAAAAAGCACTCAATTATAATATGTGAATTTTTAGATTTTTTCTTTATTTTAATAATATAATTTTTTTTTAATTTTCAAATTTACAAATTTTAAAAATTTTAAAAACTTTTAAATTTATAAATTTATAAACTTTTACAAACTTTCGAATTTAAAAATCTAAAAACTTAAAATTAAATAATTTTTTTAAAAGTAAAAAAAATGTAAATGCAACCTTTCCCGGATAAAGCACACACCAAACCGACAAAAAACCCCTGAAATATGCCACGTCAAGAACCAGGGCTACAATCTACGATTCAACTCAGCCGCTGCTTCTGGATCCCGTCCTGGTCCAGATATCTAAACCACGCACCTAGCCACTCTCCCTCGCCCAAATCCGCCGATTCGTTTAAATTCCGAAACCCTAAATAATCAAAAATCAATTAGGAACTAAAATTTGTACCAATCAGACCTTTTTCCAGAAAAAAAATTTTGGATTCGATTGATTAAGAGGAAAAAAAAGGAGACTTTCTAGTTGTTTGATGGTGATAAGGGATGCCGCCGAAGCAAGCCTCAAAAGTAGAGTTAGCGAAGAAGCAGAAGATCGTAGAGGACAAGACCTTCGGTCTCAAAAACAAAAACAAGAGCAAAAATGTTCAAAAATACGTCCAAAATCTTAAGCAAGCCGTACAACCCAAACCCGACCCGAGTAAAGTGGCTCAAAAGGTTCGGATCCTCCCCCGATTACTCCTTTTATTTATACTTCTTAATTTATAGATGTGAAAAATTAAAATTTTATATAAATTAGTATGCATTTTATGTATGAAAAGTATATGTTTTTTATTGTTAATCTAAATGTTTTACTCTTTTCATGTTTAATTAGTTCAATTGATTGGAAACTTGGGTTCTTTAGGAAGTGAAAAATTCAATGAAGATAAAATCAAATGAAAAAAAAATAGTATTTTTCCTATACTAATCGAGCTTAGACATCAAAATGTTATTATTATTATTATTTTAACCAATTCTTTTAAGTTACAGAAAAAGAAAGAGGAAGAAAAGGCCAAAGAAAAGGAGCTCAATGACTTGTTCAAGATTGCTGTTACTCAGCCAAAAGTGCCTGTTGGTAATTGCCCCAGCTTTTTCTCTGTGGTTGAGTCATGATTATCACTGGCTTAAGTTTTTGGATGATGGTTTTTTTTTTTCTTGTTGGTATGTGTTTACATGGGTTGGGTTAGTAGGAATTCAAAGTTTAGAACTAATAATTGGGTGCTTGAGCAGGGGTTGATCCAAAGTCAATAGTATGTGAATTCTATAAAGTAGGACAGTGTGCCAAAGGTTTTAAATGCAAGTTCTCACATGACCTGAATGTTCAGAGGAAAGGGGAGAAGATTGACATTTACAGTGATAAGCGCGACCAAGGTAAATTCTATATGAAATTTTATGTTGTTTGATTCTTATCTATTTAATTATGCAGTAAGATTGAAGATTGTTCTTATTTTTATATTGTTGGTGGTTTCTTTCTTTAAGAAACAATGGAGGACTGGGATCAAGAAACTTTGGAGAAGGTTGTGGAGTCAAAGACGAAGGAGTATCAGCAGAATAAGCCTACTGATATTGTAAGCTTTTGCTGTTGGTCCTGTATATGTTTTTGTTGATTATGTCAAAATGTATATTTTGCTGAACTCTGTATTTGTTAAATGCATAAGTTTTCTCATTTATACGTAAGAGTCATGCTTTTGAACTCTGGTGGGAATTTCTTCTATTGTGGACGAAGGCCAATAGAAAACTAGTGTGAGATGTCTTTTTTATATTCTGAAGCATTTGCATCTGAATACATATTATGAGATTCACCTAATGGGAAATTATTAATTAGATGTTCAGAGGATAAGGAGAGGGAGAGGTAAAATCAGATGGCTACGAGGATAAAGTTGGTGTTAGTTATAGGCTTTATCTGGGTGACTTTATATATTTGTTTCTCATGTTGTGCCTCTTTACCAAACTTTGAATTACTTTGGACTGCTTTGTATGTATATGCAGGTTTGTAAATATTTCTTGGAAGCTGTGGAAAAGAAACAATATGGCTGGTTTTGGGTCTGCCCAAATGGTGGTAAAGATTGTCATTACAGGCATGCGCTTCCCCCAGGATATGTCCTAAAGTCTCAGATGAAGGCTCTGATAGAGGAAGAGAGTGAAAAAACACCAATTGAGGATGAAATTGAGAACCGGGTAATAATTAGATTTGCTGGACTCAACCTGCCATTGTTCTATCAGCATAGTTTTTTACTTTATTTTGGTTAGATATTTAGATTACCTAACTAATACATGTCCCGTACTGTAGCGCGCCAAATTAACAACTTCAACTCCTATGACTCCTGAGTTATTTATGGAATGGAAGAAGAAGAAGATAGCAGAAAGAGACGAAAGTTTGGCTGTACAAAAGGCAGAAAGGGCTAAGAATGACCGCATGAGGTATGTCCTTCATGGTCTTTGTGCTTTCACACATCTCTGTTAATAGATAGAGACTGTGCATGCATGTGTCTTATTTTCTTCAGAGTCATTGTCTAAATGTTTTGTTCTTTGTGCTTTGTTGCAGTGGTCGTGAACTATTTATGTCAGACGCTAGTTTATTTGTGGATGATGCCGAGGCATATGAGAAATACCAAAGAGAGGAAGAATCTGATGTTCCAGAAAATAAGGTACTCTTTTTCTTGGCATCTTCTATATTTTCCTTGAAGCTTCTCTGAGCTTCATGAATCACTCTGTTGAATGAGAGGTGGAAATTCTGATACCATGTAGGATGCTTCTATGTGCTAGATAAAAGTGGTAGATTGGCATTGTGTTTTCTAGGTTATTTAAAAGGAAAAAAAAAATATTAGTCTATGACTAGTGATAAGAGTTTTTAAATTTTAAAGGACATAAATTGTTGTTTGTTGCTTTCAAAAGGAAAAAAACACCTGCTGCCATTATGCTACCTCCACCGCTGCTGAGTTACAAATATCGAAATCACCTTTCATTCATCAATTTCCACAGAATCCTGCCATCATGCACATATTTTTGACAATGAAACTAATATAAAGCTCACATTAGAGCTTGGTGAGAGGAAATTTGAGTAAGACCGTTGTAAAAAATATTTTGAATATACCTATCTCAAAACAGGCTAAAACTACCCCTGCTCCTGAGGATCTTTATGTTTCCATACCTTGCCCTACCTTGATCCTAAGAGGGAGGGGGTTTGAAAGAAACACCTCCCTGGTTGTCATAGGTATAAATTGTCATATCGAACATGTATTCTTCCTGGTTTGATGTCATCTTTGAGGAAATTTTTCAGCCCTTCTTTGTGATGCATTTATATTATGGTTAAAATTTGGAAATATGATTGGTTGGTGCTTAACAGTGGATTTTAATCATAGAAATAGAATTGGAATGCATGCAAAGTATTTACACTTCTGACACTCTAATGTGCTGTGGGCATACTGATATGAGATGGACTAGTTGATGCCAAATATTTCTTGTTTTGCACATTCATCTTCAGGCCAATAATGATTTAGCTGCTGCTGGACCAAGTACCTCAGCAACATCTGTTGCTGATGCTGATGCTCTTCCAGATGATGATGACGATGACGATGATGAATTGGACATGGATGAATTAAATGAGCTAGAAGCAAGCTTAGCAAAAACGTCTATTCAAATTCAGGAGCCTAATGCAGAAGCTTAATTTTGAGAGGTGCGGAGTCTTCAGTCCATATGCCTTTTAAGTGTTGACTCTATGATCCTGCTGCAAATTACTTGCCATCACAATTTCACCTGTAGCTTAAGACTGCTGAACTTGCTGTTATCCTGGCAGAGTGGCAGTCATCGCCCCATATCTTCTTTTGCAAGGTTCACCTATAAGCCTAGTGCTGCATGAGCATATGGTTGAACTGCAAGTTGTATCCCAATTTTTATGCTGGGTTTCTCTCAATCTGTATTGAAAAGAGGATCACGAGTATGATTGTGGTTTTGTTATTCTTCTAAGCTTTGAAGCATTTTAGCATGATTCTCGTGAGGAATAAAGTCTTTTAAACATTGTTTTAACCTGATTTACACTGATCTCTCATGTGTTGTCCAATTATTTACTTTGCTTTATTTCAGCGTTGGCAGTGTCATTTTTCGATCACAGATGCATGCATGCATTTATGTGCCTGTTGTGCTTTCGCCGAGGGAAAGATTTAAGCTCATGAGTTCCAGTTGAATTTCCACTGCTGGAGAGAGCAGAATTACTTGTGTTCATCAACTTTGCCGCACGGCAGGTGCTATGTGCCCTTAGCATGAGAACAAGAAGATTGCAAAATAATAATTATAATAATTTTACTCCTCTCTTCTTTACAACAAAACTTTGATTGGAGTGCTGTAATCTGTTTTTCTTATGTCGAAGATGAATCAATGGTTTAAATAATTTATTGTGGAAATACAAACCAATCGAAAAAGGTTTGTCTCCCATGCTGATAATACCATATAGTAAATAGACCAATCAAACTTGGTCAATTGCGAATTTCATAGGTTTCCAAAATGTCATATTTTGAATTTCATGGTTCAAATTTCAACAACACCATCGTGTACGTGAAGAACTCCCCTGGCTGGCTATATGACTACTGATGAAGCAAGATTTACAAGGATGAATTGAATAGTACTGCTTTGTTTCAATTTATGTGCAAAAAAAATTAGGCTAGAATTAGTCAAGAACACATTCTAGATTTTGCCGGGTCACTCAAGAAAGTTTGTCCACCCTTGAGGTGACAAATAATGCTGTTGAAGAATCATGGTAATTTTTTCAAATAAAAATGGGTTCATGAACATTGTCAAGTTTCAAAGAGAGGATTACTGTGGACAGTTTTCCTTTTTCCTTTCGGATTAAGGAAGCATAAAACTTTTACCACCAAAAAACCCATGTTTTATATTACTTTTGGCATCATAATCTACAAAACATTTAGATCCAATTGTGGTGAAATATGCGCAGTGAATAAGAACAGACAAATAAGTCCATGGATCAATACCATAAACAATTCGCCTTGTGATTCTTCCTTTATATATATCACAAGGCGAATTGTTTATGGTATTGATCCATGGACTTATTTGTCTGTTCTTATTCACTGCGAAGACCATCTTGTTTGTTTCATACTATAACTGATCATGTCGGAAAATTTGATAAGAAAGCACCTTATCCAATAAAATTCTACTCTTATCTTAGCATAAATTTACCCTAAAAAAATTATGAAGTACAGAAAACATTTCAGTAAAAAAATTCTATTGGCAACCTAAAACCCAAGCATTTCCAGCCGGCCTATATTTGACTTGCCTAGCTTTTTGGTGTAATTGCACTTTGATTCCTGTCCGGACATGTTCCCACAGTCTCACTAAAATATTTCATACACGCAATTGAAAAACTATACCAAAAAAATAGAAAACCAATTACTTGCGACTTTTTGTCCGTACAGATAACAAAGTTATGTTTCATCCATTGCATCTGGTCTTTAAGTTCTACTTTCATGCAGTAGAACCAGAGATGATGGCTGAGGGCATGGAACCATTCACAAATTTACAGCACAAAAAAAAAAAAAAAAAAAAAAGAATAATGCTAGTGATTAAAGATAAAACCTTTGTTGCCAAGATTTGTCTTACAAGGAGAAAGAAAGGAAAAACAATAAAGCAGAAAGGGGAGAGTGGGGGATAATCGAAAGAAAGATACACATGAGAATTCTCTTAGAGAGTACTACTTTCAGGGAACAATGCAGGAAAGGATAAAGCAATAGCTTAAACCAGCATATTTGTATGCAATGCTGAAGATGACAATTGTTGAAATTAACTAGTCATTTTCTGTAGAGATGAAATCACCCTTATTATTTTGTTTTTGGAAGCTGCATTTCCTTTGATGTCACCTTCTTCTTTCTTTGCAATACTTTACCTGCTTTTGATGCTACTCTTAACACAGACTCCATTATAATGGATATGATTCTAACCTTGATCTGCCCTCTTTTTGGCACCCTTGTTTTCTTTGGCTCACCTTGTGCCTTTGCCATAGCCATTTATGGCAAATTTAAAATCTTGAACAAGTTTCAGAGGAAAGAAAGCAAGGTCAGAAAGAAAACATTAGTACAACTGATCAAAATAAGCTATATATATATATATATATATATATATATATAGCTGGAGGCTTCACGAAATGGTGTGGCAAATTGGGAGACTGAGGGGCCATTAGCTTGTATCCTTTTCCTTTTTCTTTTTCCTTTTTTTCCCTTTTCTCTGTTGAAAAAAAGGGGTTGATTGGTGGGGCGGATGACTTAGCTTTCTTACTTGGTTCACAAGATTTTACACTCAGTTGAATTACCTTCTAATATTTTGGATTGGATAACAATTGCCAGATTATTTTGTTTGTTTTCATGTATAATTTGAAATTTTCAACAATTCATATGTTAGAAAATACTATCTTTTTCTCAAGAAACTCCTAGATTCAGCCATTGAGCAAACATGAACAACGGTTTTTCCATATTGAAAGAAAAATCAGCAAGAAAAGATTGTCAAGTTAATTTGTTTTTTTTCTAATCTGGCTATTTAAAAGTTAATTTCAAGGCTGATCTCATTAAGTGTGCAAACTTCAACACCCTCACGTCTAGAATCATTGGCAATAGAACTTCAATTGTGTTTCAGCTTGATAGTTCACTCAATGCTACCAGACAGGCAAAACTATTTTATTATGGTTTTGAAAGAAACATGCATAACTAGCAAAGTCCACGTTCACCATGTCAAGCTCAAAACTCCAATATCTCTTACCGTATTATTTCTGATCATTCTTGTCTACCTTGAAAATGACTTTTGATTAACCTGTATGAAGGATCCCAGACAACACTTAATAGGTGGCGGAAGATGATAGGTGGAAGCAGAATAGGATAAAAAAGAAGACCACGAATCACATTATAAAGCTTTAGACTAGTTTTGGTGATGGCTTGCTGGACCAAGTACCTCAGCAACATCTGCTGCTGATGCTAAAGCTCTTCCAGATGATGATGACGATGACGATGATGAATTGGACATGGATGAATTAAATGAACTAGAAGCAAGCTTAGCAAAAAGGTCTATTCAAATTCACGAGCCTAATGCAGAAGCTTAATTTTGAGAAGCGCGGAGTCTTCAGTCCAAATGCCTTTTAAAGTGTTGATTCTACGATCCTGCTGCAAATTACTTGCCATCACAATTTCACCTGTAGCTTAAGACTGCTGAACTTGCTGTTATCCTGGCAGAGTGGCAGTTATCGTCCTTTATCTTATTTTGCAAGGTTCACCTATAAGCCTAGTGCTGCATGAGCATATGGTTGAATTGCAAGTTGTATCCTAATTTTTACGCTGGGTGTCTCTCAATCTGTATTGACAAGAGGATCACGAGTATAATTGTGGTTTTGTTATTCATTTAAGCTTTGAAGCATTTAAGCATGATTCTCTTGTGAGGAATAAAATCTTTTAAACATTGTTTTAACCTGATTTACACTGATCTCTCATGCGTTGTCCAATTATTTACTTTGCTTTATTTCATCGTTGGCAGTGTCATTGTTCGATCCCAGATGCATGCATTTATATATCTGTTGTGCTTTCGCCGAGGGAAAGATTTAAGCTCATGAATTCCAGTTGAATTTCCACTGCTGGAGAGAGCAGAATTAATTGTGTTCATCAACTTTGCCGCACGACAGGTGCTATGTGCCTCCCATTGGTCTGACCTTAATATGAGAACAAGAAGATTGCAAAATAATAATAATAATAATAATAATAATAATTTTACTCTTCTCTCTTCTTTACAACAAAACTTTGATTGGAGTTCTGTAATTTGTTTCTCTTATGTCAAAGATGAATCGATGGATTAAATAATTTATTGTGGAAATACAAATAAAAAGGTTTATCTCCAATGCTGATCATACCATAGTAAATAGACCAATCAAACTTGGTCAATTGTGAATTTCACAGGTTTCCAAAGTGTCATATTTTGAATTTCAAGGTTCAAATTTCAACAACATTGTGTGCGTGAAGAACACCCCGGCTTGCTATATGATTACTGATGAAGCAAGATTTACAAGGATGAATTGAATACTACTGCTTTGTTTCAATTTATGTGGCAAAAAAAATTAGGCTAGAATTAGTCAAGAACACATTCTAGATTTGCCGGGTCACTGAAGAAAGTTTGTTCACCTTTGAGGTGACAAATAATGCTGTTGAAGAATTATAGTAATTTTTTCAGATAAAAATGGGTTCATGAACATTGTCAAGTTTCAAGGTAGAGGATTACTGTAGTCAGTTTTCCCTTTTCCTTTTTGATTGAGGAAGCATAAAACTTTTACCACAAAAAAAACCCATGTTTTATATTACTTTTTGCATCATAATCTACAAAATCTTTAGATCCAATTGTGGTGAAATATGAGCTTATAAAAAAGGGAAGAATCACAAGGCGAATTGTTTATAGTATTGATTCATGGACTTATTTGTCTGTCCTTGTGATTTCTTTTTCACTGCGAAGACCATCTTGTTTGTTTCATACTATAATTGATCATGTCGGAAAATTTGATAAGAAAGTACCTTATCCAACAATATTCTACTCTTATCTTAACATAAAATTGCCTTTAAGAAGTTGTAAATTACAGGAAACATTCCAGTAAAAAACTTCTGTTGGCAGCCTTAAATGCATTTCCAGCCAGAATATATATGACTTTGCCTAGCTTTTTGGTGTAATTGCACTTTGATTCCTGTCCCCACATGCTCCCACAGTCTCACTAAAATATTTCATACACGCAATTGCAAAACTAAACCAAAAAAACAGAAAACCAATTATTTGGTACTTTTGTCCGTACAGATAACAAAGTTATGTTTCATCCATTGCATCTGGTCTTTAAGTTCTACTTTCATGCAGCAGAACCAGAGATGATGGCTGAGGGCATGGAACCATTCACAAATTTACAGCACAAAAACAAAAAAAAAAAGAATAATGCTAGTGATTAAAGATAAAACCTTTGCTGCCAAGATTTGTCTTACAAAGAGAAAGAAAGGAAAAACAATAAACCGAAAAGGGGAGAGTGGGGGATAATCGAAAGAAAGATA